AGGTCAATCGGTGCATCTACTCCTTTCATTGTTACCACTCTCATGGTCCTAACTAGCATTCATTAGTTAGCACTCACTGCATGGTCCTTTTTAAAATTTATTTACTCCCGCATAATATACTGTCTAATATTTTAATTAGTCTTAGAGCATACGAGATGGTTAAACTAGTATTACACCAGTATGGTATGTTTATAAGAGTGCTGAGGATGTATTCTGCTTTAATGAACAAATCATACTTGGTGGGGATCTCGAAATCTTATCCCTCCCCGAATCTCTCTTCACCCCCCCCCCCCCCCCCGATTATTTGATGCACTTTTTATTACTTAAAAATGGCAAATGTGTGGTTATATCTAGTTTTATCTTATCGACATGGTGTAAGTAGCCTACTGAGTCAAAAATAGCTATTCACGTTTTTCACATTCAATGCAGTGAGGTGTGTGTTTGATTTAGAATTTATCTTAATGATATAAAAAAAAAGTAGTTTTCAAATAGGGTAGTGCATATATAGTAGGGTAGAGTCTAGGGTAGGGAAAATCATTAGCATGTCATATTAACATGCAGGTCTAGTTGACTAGATGAGTGCCACAATTTAGAGAGTGGGATATGGGATATGGCCACCAATTGTAGAGTGGGATATGGCCACCATGTGTAGAGAGGGGTATGGCCACCACTGGTAGAGTGAGATATGGCCACCACTTGTAGAGTGGGATATGGCCACCTTTGTAGAATGGGATATGGCCACCATTTGTAGAGTAGGATATGGCCACCACTTGAAGTGTAGGACATGGCCACCACTTGTAGAGTGTGAAATGCCCCCATTTGTAGAGAGGAATATGGCCATCATTTGTAGAGTGGGGTATGGCCACCATTTGTAGAGTGGGATATGGACACCTTTGTAGAATGGGATTTGGTCACCATGTGTAGAGTGGGATATGGCCTCCACTAGTAGAGAGGAATATGGCCACCATTTGTAGAGTGGGGTATGGCCACCATTTGTAGAGTGGGATATGGCCATCACTAGTAGAGTGGGATAGGGACAAAAATGGTAGAATGGGGTATAGCCATCATTGGTAGATTCGGATATGGCCATAATTAACTTCGGAGAATGTGGTCACTAAATGTAGAGGGATACGGACACTATTAAATTTTGTAGAGGAATATGGCCACCATTTGTTGAGTGGGATATGGCCACCACTGGTAGAGTGGGATATGGACACCATCTGTAGAGTCGGATATGGCCATAATTAACTTAGGGGAATGTGGTCACTAAATGTAGTGGGATACGGACACTATTAAATTTTGTAGAGGGTGATGTGGCCACCATTTGTAGGATGGGATATGGCCACCTTCTGTGGGATATGGCCGCTGACAGCAAGATGAGCTAGGACCATTGGAGATCAGATAAACAGGACTATTACCTCTACATGTTGGCAGGAAAGCTGTTACTTTATGGCAGTGAGTTATGGTCCCTGACATCGTCTATTCTACAACCTGCGTTAGCTGGCATGTGCAGTTACTACTAGTACGACCCTCAGTATGTGATACTGCGTCCTTTGTCCAGTTGGTCATTAAATATGAATAGCACTTTGAGCGTTGGCAATGAGGTTTTAATTCGAGCAGACAGTCCCTAACACAAGTTCGCGTTCGCAAGGATAAATTGGCCAAACTTCACACCTATGACTAGATGCCTTTGTTCTGTCGGCTGTATCAGGCCCGAACAGCTGAACTCAATTATCAATGACTTCCGATGGGTTTGGGAATTGATTAACAGAAATTAATAATCGCATTACACTAGAATGGTTTATTTTTTTTTTGTAGTCCGCACCCAACCATCGTTTATTTACTAAACGCCAGTTATAAAAGACGGGTAGGAAAAAACGTTACGTTTTACACTCATAGGATCAGAGAACAACCTTATCTCACAAACTGTTGGAGGCAGGGACCAACTTTACCTCATAAAATATTGGAGGGAAGAACTACCTCATGAACTCAGATGGGCAGAGAAAATCAGGGACCAACGTTACCTTAAAAGCTAGTAGAAACAAGGAAAAACGCTACTTCATAAACTCGGTTATAGAACAACTACAACAGTATAAAATTTCCATAAGTCAGTAGCTGTAGGTCCCCTCCCTAACATTTCCTCAAGTGCTTTAGGTCCCTCCCCAACATTTTCTCAAATCAGTAGCTGTAGGTCCCTCCCTAACATTTCCTCAAGTCAGTAGCTGTAGGTCCCTATAACATTTCCTCAAGTCAGTAGCTATAGGTCCCCTCCCGATTATTTCCTCAAGTCAGTAGCTATAGGTCCCCTACCTTACATTTCCCCAAATCAATAGCTGTAGGTCCCTCCCTAACATTTCCTCAAATCAGTAGCTGTAGGTCCCGTCCTTAACATTTCCTCAAATCAGTAGCTGTAGGCACATCCTTAACATTTCCTCAAATCAATAGCTGTAGGTCCCCTCCCTAACATTTCCTCAAATCAATAGCTGTAGGTCCCCTCCCTAACATTTCCCCAAATCAATAGCTGTAGGTCCCGTCCCTAACATTTCCTCAAATCAGTAGCTGTAGGTCCCTCCCTAACATTTCCTCAAATCAGTAGCTGTAGGTCCCGTCCTTAACATTTCCTCAAATCAGTAGCTGTAGGCACATCCTTAACATTTCCTCAAATCAATAGCTGTAGGTCCCCTCCCTAACATTTCCCCAAATCAATAGCTGTAGGTCCCGTCCCTAACATTTCCTCAAATCAGTAGCTGTAGGTCCCGTCCCTAACATTTCCTCAAATCAGTAGCTGTAGGTCCCTCTCTAACATTTCCTCAAATCAGTAGCTGTAGGTCCCTCCCTAACATTTCCTCAAATCAGTAGCTGTAGGCCCCCTCCCTAACATTTCCTCAAGTCAGTAGCTGTAGGTCCCTCTCTAACATTTCCTCAAATCAGTAGCTGTAGGCCCCCCCCCCCTAACATTTCCTCAAGTCAGTGCTGTAGGTCCCTCCCTATAATTCCCTCAAGTCAGCGCTGTAGACCCCATTCTAACATCTTCTCAAGTCACGTTAGGTCCAAACATAACAAAAGCAGTAATTATTTCTCTTACATCTTGTCCGTAAATGTAGTGGCTTAACTCGCAATGTATACCAGATATTCAAGATCTGCACCAACCACCACCAGCAATTGCTCGGCATGGCTAGCACCTTGTCAGTAAATGTATTGGCTCGAACTGTGTACTAGATATTCTAATTTCTGCACCAACCACCACCAGCCATTGCTCGGCATGGCTAGCACCTTGTCAGTAAATGTATTGGCTCGAACTGTGTACTAGATATTCTAATTTCTGCACCAACCACCACCAGCCATTGCTCGGCATGGCTAGCACCTTGTCAGTAAATGTATTGGCTCGAACTGTGTACTAGATATTCTAATTTCTGCACCAACCACCACCAGCCATTGCTCGGCATGGCTAGCACCTTGTCAGTAAATGTATTGGCTCGAACTGTGTACTAGATATTCTAATTTCTGCACCAACCACCACCAGCCATTGCTCGGCATGGCTAGCACCTTGTCAGTAAATGTATTGGCTCGAACTGTGTACTAGATATTCTAATTTCTGCACCAACCACCACCAGCCATTGCTCGGCATGGCTAGCACCTTGTCAGTAAATGTATTGGCTCGAACTGTGTACTAGATATTCTAATTTCTGCACCAACCACCACCAGCCATTGCTCGGCATGGCTAGCACCTTGTCAGTAAATGTATTGGCTCGAACTGTGTACTAGATATTCTAATTTCTGCACCAACCACCACCAGCCATTGCTCGGCATGGCTAGCACCTTGTCAGTAAATGTATTGGCTCGAACTGTGTACTAGATATTCTAATTTCTGCACCAACCACCACCAGCCATTGCTCGGCATGGCTAGCACCTTGTCAGTAAATGTATTGGCTCGAACTGTGTACTAGATATTCTAATTTCTGCACCAACCACCACCAGCCATTGCTCGGCATGGCTAGCACCTTGTCAGTAAATGTATTGGCTTTACTCGTACTGTGTACTAGATATTCTAAGATCTGCACCAACCACCACCAGCAACTACTCGACATGACTACACTAACATGACGTGATCGACATACCCCACCCGCACATCAACCCCGCATGTAAGTGAGCACGCATGTTTTTTACGAGGTAAATAATGACTCATTACCTATAAACCCATACTTTCTTAATCACGCCGTCATCGTGGTTATTAAAACAGTTATCAGGGGGTACCTTATTACACGCCTATCAATCAATATGACATAATGGGGTTCACGAAGCCAACAAGCGACGGCCATGGAATATCAAGGGGGAACGAATTGTGTAGCTATTGATCAGAATATGCTAGATCAATCTTTTCTCGCGGTTTCTTGCTTTACACAACACTCTTCTACACCCGGTTTTATACATATATATATATATATATATATATATATATATATATATATATATATATATATATATCAGAAATAAAAGACAACAAGAAGAACCACAGCTTTCCCTACGTTCGAGATTTAGTTATTGTGTTATTCAAGATGAAAGAAGCAATGTGAAGATCGATACAATACTTCGATTACTTTCAATAATATAGGTTAGCGGTAGTAATATAATCCATTACGTTTCAGTCTAGATGTAGAGCTAAAGTAAATCACAATAATCTCACCAGCAATGTCGTAGAGCGCAACACATGTTGAATAGAGTGTTAAAATGGTCCACACAACGGGAAGAATGTCGAGAAGTGAGATCGGGATGTCAGGGGGAAAACGCTCCATCATCCCAGGCGATAATGTAAGTTCTAGTCAATGAAATGTCTAGGTATGTTAAATTATTCTATCCAAGAGGAAGGCTCTAACGCCCGTCGTGCCTCGTGTCATATGATTAGCATAGATTTGCTAATGAGCAATCATTATTACCTGCATAAGATGGTATTATGTACCGCGGTGGAGCGGCCATGGCGCGGGGGTGAGGACGAGACTAACCTGTTTGATGATGGCCGACTGGGCAAGTTTGACCAGGTCGGGCTTGGACTCGCCATCCACAACATCGGCAGCACTTCCATCGTTGGAATCCGTGTCCATGTTGAGTCGGCAGAAGGCCGGGGAATCCACAAGTTATGGCCGGGGCATGTGATGGCGGGGACCCTGCAGGAAAAAAAGAGACGGTAACAGGACAACTCGCTGGCTGCTGCTTCATTGATCGGGGACCGAGCCCACCGCCGTACCCAATAAAGTCTGCATAGCTCAACTCTTGGACAAAATGGGGGAAAAAAAATTCCCGCTCAAACGGTTCGTCCTTGTTTTCTATAAGACACAAGCGCAATTTAAAATGTATTTCGTCAAACAACTGATCAGTTGAACGCTTCCAGACAACAATTAACTAGAAAAATACACGTACATGCAGTGCATCTACATGCGGTGCCATCTTCTAGATTCTATGGCTAGGGCAACTTGTGGCTTCTATTCGGACGAATAGCTATGCATGACGCAGATGTAATATAAAATATGCAATAAATGAACATAGTTTATAGTAAACAGTGAAATGCTGGAATATAACTGAACGCATCAGACAATAATCACCAGCATAAACGTGCCGTAGCCTAGAAATATAGTCTACCGCTAGACTTTCATTAGCATACACCGCTCCAAGAATAGAAAATAAATTAATTAAGATAGGCTTAAAGGCAACACGTTTTTTTTTAAATTTAAAAAAAAAAAGTTTTTTAAATTATGCACGTACACGTGCTACATATAAATATTGGTACGATCATTATTTTGAAATTGAAACTAACATCAAACAATAAGAGCAGTAGAAATAATTTTAAAACTTAATTAACACCCTGGACTAGGTTAAATTGAGTAGTTTTTACGGCAATATATTGTACATTTTCCTTTTTTAAAAACTTGATGATATTAAACATGCTGTTAGCACTGGTAATGTTTTACATGAACTGAATATACCAACAAGAGGCAATCAGAAAATGGATGTTGGACGTGAGCTGAAAATGTGAAAATAGGCCTACGGAGGTGCGTTGGTTTATGGATTTGTTGTTTTGTGTTCTTTAGGGCGATGGGCAGGGTACAGAGCAGTTTCTTTGATTTTCGTGATTTTTAAAAATGTCTTTTAGAACGATTGGACATATAGGTTGACACAAGTGACTTTACATTTTAAAGTTTGTGTTTTCAAAAAAAAAAAAGGAAATTCAACAGAGTAAAGATATAACATTTTCTCATGGCGATGTGACCTCAATAATTATTGCCCTGACAGATTTTTTTTTTTAAATATCCAATATACTAACTTATGTGGTAGTTTGACCGGCTGGAACGGGTGGGTGTGTGTTGAGATTACAAATTTCTATGAAAGTTCTATAGAAGGCAATAATTTATAAAATTAGATGTGAAATTTTGCGTTATATAATGTTGCATGATCCCTTGGCGTTAAAGATTCTTGGATTAAAAGAACGTCTATATTACGACCATTTGAAATACAGATGGTGAAACTCTGGTAGAAAAAATTACAAAGCGATTGTGATTTTAAAGGTGAGATACCATAAATTCAGAATATAATTAACTAATAAACTTCTACAAATATACTACTATGCCCCGAGTTACAAACAAAATACGATACCGAAAGGCGTTAGGAACTTAACCACATCTTTAAAAGTATATCAGTGCCGTTTTGATGCAGAAAAAAAAAACACCACTGGTTATTAGGGCAATTAACGTAATAGGAACTGCAGTAAAACTTAATTAAAATGTAACATTAAAAAATTAAAAGATGTTATAATTTGAATCCACAACACATAGAAAAGAAAGACACAAAAAAATCTTTAAAAAAAAAGTATGTTTCTTGTGGAAATTAAGTGCGCAAATGAAAGGTTATATGGTTCGCATTCCGGATTACTGTTCATAAAGCGTTGACACACGTGTAGTATAGAACACTGACAAGCCTCTTTGTACTGAAATAAAATGAAGTTATCAATCTTTAAGACACCTGGTCCGTAATAATATCAGCGAAGAACCACTTCATAATTCTATTTTTGGCTGATCGCAGTTAAGTCTTACAGCCGGTAGTTAACAACGCAGTGTTTGACCTTCCTGTGGTTTTAAGAAAAAAAAAAATAAAAAGATCAATAATGACGAGGATGGGGTGTACGGATGTTTGTGAGGTCAAATCAAGTAATAGAAGAAATGTAATTTGGCCATTGAGTAAATTCATTTGAAACCACGAGCCCGCTGCGATAAATGTGTGCCCTCCGACCCGCTGATCAACTGGACGAGCCTCATATTTTATGAAATGTACGGGTGAGCCCATCAGCCGTCTGGAGCAGGCGCAGCAAATCGCCGCTTTCCGAACAGGCTGGCAATGAAAAACCTCCCCGACGTTGGACAAAAATCAATAGGCACCTCTGGAGTTGGCGTTGCCATGGCAACGGCATTAATGTAATGATTTTACGATGAGAAGGCGTGCCTTTGTTGTGCGGAAGCGCAAGGGGAGAGGTCGACGCCATTTACTTCCAATGTATAATAGCTGCTTATCATTATTAATTCCATACCGCTGCACATGCATATTCAAATTAGTTTTCCTCAAAGCACGGGGGGTTAACGAGCAGAGATCGTTAGAACAGGTCGATACTCAATAAGGAAACTAAATAATGGCATTTAAGATGCGCTCACACTATTATTTTCTGCTGTACAATGTACACAAACTAGAGCGTGTGGAACTCACCACTCATTCATTATAGGTCTAATGCATAACAGTTAACTAAACTGCGTCAAAATAAGGATGGCAGTGTAGAATTAAAACGAAACAGACGACCGAGAATGAGCGGGGCATACACCGTTTTGAATTTAATTTTCAATGGTAGTTTTTCGTATTCGATTGACGAAGATAGCCTACAGCGATAATTCACGATACCAGGATTTCGAGTATGATGGAATGGTTATTGAATGTGTACCTACACAATCAAAAGATATGAAATGGTGTTGATCTACTATACAACTACATTTTAAAAAAAAAAGAATGTGTCCATTCTCAACCCTCCCGCAGAAGTCTTAGCGACATTGCGAATGCTGTCGTTGAGATTCTGAGCACGGCTATCAGTGGCGTAGCACCGATTTCGGCGCCCGCGGCGAACTATCATTTTTTGCGCCCCCCCCCCCCATATTTATATATATAGTTTTTTATGCTGGTGAAAAAGCCCCAAAGTTGGAAAGGTTGTTGGCGCTTTTTATCAGTCACTATCCCATACCAGTTTTTACCTCTATGCCACACAATTTACGTAGAAAACTGTTGAATCAGCCAGTAAAGCCAAGGAGCAGTATATTGAAAAAAACAAAACTCCTACTGTGTATAATTCAGTAATGCAGCGCTGAATGATTTGTTTTTTTGGCGCCCCCTCAGGTTAGACCACCCCACCGCCCTCCACTATCTACGCCTCTAGAATAACTAATAACCCTCCATATGACAATAAAGAGATATGAAGGCCAAACATTCGTGGTTGGCTCTTCTTACTTTATTAGTCCTGGCCAACAGGTGGCGGCGGTCACTTTTTAACAAACGATTTTTTTTATTGCAAGTTCGCTGCTGGCTAAAAAAAATATGTTCAAAAACATTTTTAATTAATCATGTTTATAGTAGATCTATATGCCCTGTGGTAGATTCGACAGCTTCCGGTTAGAGGACGGCTTGCATGAATAAGTTTAATTGTAGAACTTTTCATCATCTAGCAAAGGTCTATGGGAGTGGATATGACACTACACTATATTATTTACCGCAGCAGCATAGATCTTTAGTTTATTCAGTAGCGGATTTATGTCATAGTCATAGTTATAGGCCGATTTTATTATTTTTTAAAATTATCAAACAAAATGTGGCAAACATACAAACATCTACTGTTTAATTAGGGTACCATAATTTTTAATTTAAATCGATATTATTGCAAATAGCAATTTATAGATCCCCAGGGGTTTAACAATTGGGATTGTGTAACAGCAGTTAAATGTGACTGGTCTGGCTTTTCTAAAAATAAATAACATAAAGGGCTTTTTTAGAAAACGCCACTGAAGTAATACTTTGAATTAATTAGATCTACCTCTAGGCTGTGAGAAATCTATATTTAATACGATGTGAAATAAGAAAGCTTCATTATTTCAGCTAGACATTGATTTAAAACATTAATATAAGGGACCTTCAAAAATTAAACGTATGCGTGTTAGAATCTAAATCTAAAAAAATCAATTGTGTAGGTCACATGCATGATGTGGCCTGTTATTTATACTATTTCTATTGACAGTTTATAAGCCTTCTGTGATAATCTATCTATCTATATATATAATTCTCTTCTGGGAGCCGTTAGAAAACAAGCTGCAAGCGCCTCCTTGCAGTCCCCTCTCTTTCTCTCTATCACTATCACTACCACCCTCACCCCACCCATTGTCTGGTGAGCTGTGGTCACGCTAAATGTTTACAAAGCTAAATGTTTACAAATCGTAGAGTCGTAGAGCTGGGTTTCTATTAGGGGCAGATAATTTAGTTCGATTTTAAACTTACAGGAGGTAACTAAGAAATAACTAAGAGGAGGCTGCTTTCACGGGGGGGGGGGGGGGGGGGTGTAGGGTCGGGGTTAGGGGAAAGGGGGGGGGGGGGGGGGGTAGTGTTTTAAAGCAAATATTTTCAGTGACAGCATTGGTACTGTCGAATTCACAAATTATGAATTATTGAAAAGTAGAAAATAAAACAACTAAATAGCGGCGTATGATACGCTGCGGGTCGGCTCGTGAAATATAATTATTAAGCTAATATTATTTAACCCAGTGTTGAAGGTTCTGTTTATTTTATGGTAACTGGAGGGTTGACATTTGCACGCAAGTCTGTGACGTAAGAATTTACTTGAAGGGGTATTCTATTAACGACCTCACACAACTAAGGGGAGGGGTCGGAATTTTGTAATATGTGACGTGAGGGAAGGGGGGGGGGGGGGTCAGAAAGTGTGACGACACACTTTTGAATTTTTTAAAAATAATGATAGAAACTGAATTTTTGCAGTTACTTCCATTTTCAAATAATTTAAAAGGCTATTTTTTTTTAAAATTAAATTAGAAATTGATTTACTTCATTTAGGCCGAGCTCGAGAAAAAAAAAAAAGGAAAAAAAAAAACTCAAATGATCTGGCTTTTTATGAAGATGCGTGAAAAAAAAATTCTATTAGGCCTAGATCTAGAGTCGAATCTTGTCCAGATAAGCCCAGTCACTAATACAAAAAGTACTCGGGCGAAAAGTTAAGCCCCGCCACTTGTGACAATTCTAGTCTAGACATTTAGATATTTAAACGCAAGCCATAGAACAACTCCTTATCCGCCTCTAGGGTTCGGGTTAAAGGTACCAAAGTACAGACCTTTTGATTCACATAATTTTTAATAACATGTCCTGATTTCACCCTCTTCAATAAAATCTAAAAGTACAGGTTTCATTTCCTCTTTCATAAACATTTTTTTTTTTGGGTGGCGGGGGTTAAATTTTAGTAGCATGGCTTATCTGGACAAGCCCTAGAATATATTAACTAAAACCGAAATACGTGCAATTTTTGCAGCATTACATAAATATTGTACTGACTCAGTTGAAAAAGCCACATATCAATACTACCATCATGAAGCTATTGAAGCGTATAATAGAGGTCAACAATCTTCTTAGACATTCTTAAACTAGATTAGGCTCTATTTCAAATGTCAATAAATCGAATAGCTGAGAATAATTCCAATCGCAAAGTTGAAAGTAGAGAATGCAATTTGGTCTAGAAATCTACATCACGTTGGCTGCCCCCTCCTCTCCAGTAAAAAGCAAACTAATAAAAACCCTCAGTGAATGTTGTGTTACTAAAAATAGATATCATCGTGGCGAAAGAAAACAGACCACTCGCTGGCTGAACGATGCAGCCCATTCGAATATTATTCTTTTGATGCACACCCGACAAATCACTATAACCTCGGTTGATTTAAATTCGCTAGTTCACTAGCGAAATGATAACAGGCTCATTATACTTCTAGTAAGTTTAAATACATGCAGTACTATTTAAATCTGGTGAAGGCTGAAGTAAGAGAAAACGAAAATAAAGTATAAATTATGATAATCAACCATCCTCCCAACTAAGAAAATTTTACTCACCGGAAATCAAATCTGGTAGAAATTCCACAGAATCAAGCTACGTAGACGAGGTTATGATACTTTAAAGCATGCAAGAAAGCTTCTTTGTAAAAGCAGAGTTCCATTAAAATTATTTAAAATAGAACGGGCTTTCCCAAAAGGAACTACTAAAGAAATTAATAAATTATGCTAATTATAAAATCGTCATAAATATATATTAGATTCGTCCCTCCTACTTCAGATACGCCCCAAAGCGACAAAACGAGACACTTTCCAGATTTTGTTCGCGGGGAAAGGCAAAACAAATTATGGAAAGTTTACGATTAGCCCTATCGATATTTTGCGTCAGAAAAGATATTCACAGTTGTATTTTAAAATTGATCTGAATAAATTTTATCTGATGAAAAAACTGTATTTTAAAAAAATCCCATATTATTATTTACAATACTCATTATACTGCCATCTGCTAAATCTGAAGATAGGCCCAGTACCAGGAAAAAAAACAACAGATTTTAGGCACGAAATCGAGGCTGGGGGTTTCGCCACAAAATCTAAAAATAGAAATTTTAGTCATGTGATCACAAACATGGCGAAATCTATTGATGTAAGTTAAGAGCCCACTACCACTGTTGATTGATTTGTAGTTCATTAACAATTACAATGTCATCACTGATTAACACAAAACTTATTCAACTCTTGTTTGATCAACAACTTCATTTTCTTTACAATAGATCTAGACTCTAGATATAATATGGTGTGCGGTATAGATCTAGTGACTAGTGTGAGCAGAATTTCTGGTAAAACCTTAGTTTAGCGTCGTAAATTCGGCCAAAACTAGTAATGTGGGAGAGAGTGAATTAATGAATATGTCATTAAATATGAGTATATTTTCGTATATTTTGATAAAATATTATAGATAATTGAATAATAGATCACCATTTATGGTTAAATCAATTTAAGTATCCTGAAATTAATTTTTATCGACCCTGTTCGAGATAGTAAATTTGCTATTAAAAACAGCAGCCATCTTAAGAAAATGTTATTTAGAGTAGCTTCCCTTTCATTTCTATTAGTATGAAAATGTATTTAAATATGATTGTCTTGTTGTATAGTCCGTATTATAAAGAATTTTTTTTTTAAAATTCTGCCCTGAATTTCCTAACAAACAACTTTATTTAGACTAGAAGCATTGTGAGATGCAACTTGTATCCATGTATTAAATCACGTGTTTTTTTACTAATGTTTATTTGATCTTACTATTGCTATATAGTTTGAGTTTTTTCTTGTTTGAATGTTCACTATTTTCATTTCAGGTTTTTCTTTTCATCAATTAGTGATTTTATCGTAACTTATGACATTTTTTTTACTTCTCTGTACCTTAATTAAACCCCAACCTCCGTCATATTTTTGTTGTCAATGTCACAACAAGCCATAATGTAAAAAATTACGCTTCACTCTGCCTTATCTAAGGGGTCATCCATAAATGACGTCACACTCATAGGGGGAGGGGGGGGGGTCCGTAATTTTGTGACGATGTGTGAAGAGGGGGAGGGGGGGGGTTCAGATGTTGCGACGTCAAATTTTTGCATTATAAAAAAAGCAATGTTAGAAAACGAATTTTAGACGTTATTTCGCGTTTTAGATAACTGTTTTAATAAATTGTTATAGTTTAGACAAGATTTTGGAAAAATATCGATGTTTAAAAAAATTCAACTGCAATTTTGAGGGGGGTTGTAGGTTGAGGTGTGACGTCATTTTAGGGGGGGGGGGTCGGGCTTTTTGTGACGACGTGTGACGAAGGGGAGGGGGGAGGTAAAAATCGTCAAAAAAAGCGTGACGTCATTTATGGATGACCCCTAAGATCTCTAACCATAATTTTGACAACATTAAATGTTTGTCATCATTTCTATATACAGAGAGACAAAATGTATTATCCACCAGCTTCCCTCGTAAAACATCATCTAAAACAATGAGCCAGTCCACCCCTTAAGTGAGTGTTGTCATTTATGGTCGATCGCAAGTCTCCACCTGCCAGACACATTTTGGTTATCCTTTGTTGTCAAATTGTCAATATCAAGTACCCAAGTGAGTGATATGGGGTTGTCCATAAATGATGTCACATATGATATGCTATGGGAGTGAGTGAAGATTTGTGACGTCAACTCAGGCGGCTCCGCAAATTATGACGTGTCGGTATCATGAAAGGAGGTGAACGGGGGAAAATACCTAGGTGGTTGACGGAGAACCTCTATAATGCTTTGTTCAATCAAAATAACGATAAATAGGCATCAGTATACGTATACCTTTGTAAGATGACGTAAATACTTAAATTCAATTTCGCTAAACTGCGCGAAAATTTAGTGATGTTCCATTGTTTGATGAAATTTATTTTCTTGGACTTAAATTGAAATATCATGTTGACTGTCTGGCTCTTAATTTTCGAATATCACTTTTAATGTATCAATATTCAGAACTATAATTTACTTAATATAAGTGTCATCTTATCGTTTATTGTGCTTTTTATAAAGCGCAGCGCAGCTTCAAAATCGGACGGCCATCCCGTTTTCACCAAGCTTCTTTTGGAGCTTAATATGGGTAGGCTAGTTCTATACGGTGGGAGCTTAATACATTTTTAAAGGGCCGAAAGTCTCAAGACAGCAAGCTTGCAGAAATAACCTCGTATGTTTAAATGGACGAGGGATAGATGTGTGAGGGGCTGTTTAATTTAACACCAACATAAGTAATCAAATTAAACGTCGCATAAGTGTCAAAACGGCATTGCTTGTTTTTTTTTCTTTTCTATAAAATTAGCCAAACGGTCGGCGGTACCGGTACATGACGTCACGCGCGAGCGTTAACTCGGAGACGATGTGCTAAGTGGGGGAATGAAAAGGTGGGGTTCAAGAAATGCGATTCAGCATGCTTATTACTTTTCTTGACCCTTCTTAATAGTTCTATCGTCCCCACTGAGAAAATGGATCTCCAATGAATGACGCGTCATACTTCTACAGCTGTTCTTTCTCCCACAACCATCCCGTTTTCAGAAAAAAAAAACTGACCCGTCTCAAAATCACATCCTTGAGTTCCAGAGGCGTAGCGACCCTTCCCGACGCCCGGGGACAAACTTTCGATTTGCACCCCCCTCGAACTTTTCATTTGCACCCCCCCCCCCTCAAACTTTCAATTTGACGCCCCCCCTTAGGTCGGCGCCCGGGGACATATGTCCCACCCCCCCCCCTCGCTACGCCTCTGCTGAGTTCTACTCAACCTCTCCGCACCACAAATCACAATTTCTATCTGAAACAATATGCTCATATGTTTGTTCTGTAATAATGCACGCTGTCATTACTATCTTAAGAGCGACGTCATTTAAGGACGATCTAATATTAATTTGATTAGGCCCTACTGCAAAAAAAAAAGTGTTCAAAAGTTCGACCTCCCAACAATTGTTGTGGTCTTGGATGCACACTATTAAGTCTGAAAAGGTCTATTAGTCATTCATCTCAACTATATTGAAAAAGAAAAATTACTATATAGTATACAGGCATATATTAAAACAATACAAAACAACCATATTAAACCACAAAATCAACACAACAGACATGCGAATAGACAATTTTTCAAGGGAAACTTCTTTATTATTGTTTTTGAAACATGGCCGCTGCTTGTATTTACTCAGTGTTGTCTCGAACGGGGTAGTTTAAAGTTTATTCCAGGATATTTTTGACTGGTTTGATCATGGATTGTGATTTGTGATTTAATTATCTGTTATATTATGCAAAATATGTCATAAATATGGCCAAATGAAAGAAATATTCATTAGTTACCTCCATCGCACATTACTAGCTACGTTGGAATTTACGACGCTAAACTAAGGTTTTACCGAATTTCTTTCTAATCTTTCTTTCAAAATTCTTTCAATCTTTCTTCAGGCATCTCTATTCTCTTGAAGGGGGTGGGGGGGGGGGGGGGGGGGAGACCGAACTATTTGTTTCTGATTTAGTTTTATTAAAACAGAAATGGAAAATGGTTCTGGGGACTGATAAGCATTTTCACCAAATGGTTCAGATGTAAGGCAGAAAGAAAGAACATCTTTTCTATATTTTTTATTTAGGCCCCCCTACTATTAATAATTAACTATTATTACATTAGTCTTCTCTTAGTATTTAATTTAGTTAGTATTTACAGATTTCAATAAATAGTATTAAATAGGGGCCCACCAAAATTTATAATTACTAATTAGGCCTAAATAATTATAATGAGTTAGGCGTTAGGTTAGGCCTACTTGTTTGTTAGCCTACTAACTACTATTTATTTAGTATTTAATTTACAATAGGGCCTACTATTAGTTACCTGGTTACTATTTAGTCATATTGGCATGGGCTTTGTCTTATGTATAATTTATTTTATTAAAAATAATTATTATTAATAATAACTCTTTCTTGGGGATTAGCCCGAAATCATGGAAGCTACCTAATCCTATAAATTATTAATTGCTATTTATTTTTAAAAATTTCAATCATGTAGGTTTTACTATTTATTTAATCGTTTTTAATATTTTCCACTGCAAGTAAAATGCCTCAACTATAAATATACTAATCTCTCATATATGGCTTAAATATTATTATTTATTTATTTACCCAGTTCAAAATGCAAAATGCACAAAAATCAGTTGATATTGGTGAAGATGAAGATGATGATGAAGATGACGAGTCTGATTCTGAAGATTCAGAGGTAATACAATTTCCTTAAAAAAATATTACAATCTTTATTAAACTGATTCTTAATGCCAACAATACAAATAATTTAACTATTATTCTTATAATGTTTATATGTTATATTACCTTTCACTTCATTTTAAGGATATTGAACCCAAGCTGAAATATGAAAGATTGGCAAATGATTTGACATCTATTTTAAGCAAGGATGCAGCAAGTTGTATCTCAGTGAATCCAAAGGTACTGCAGAAAATTATAAATATGTATATTAAACACATATTTTTTTGAAAAAGTAGAATCAGAATGAATATTTTTAGTTTAAGTATTCAAGTATTCTAAATTTGTTCTTATTTTACTGTTTGCAGTTTCTTGTACTTGGAACACATTGGGGAAATATTTATATCCTTGACCACATAGGCAATAGAATCAGTGACAAGGGAATCACAGCAGTGAGTCAAGGCTAGAATAATATAATAGTATTTAATCATGCTTTGTACTTTACTGGAAATTACCCTTTAAGAACCATTGATCCACAAGTCAGGTAAATTAGAGTGGTGTGAGTGTGGTGTTGTTGTCAAGCTAAATCCTAACCCAGAAGTCTTAAGTTAAAGTTATTGTGTCTTGAGTGCATAGGATGTCTTTGAGACAATCCAGCCCTGAATGGCAACTGACTTTAATCCAGGAATTTAAATGCTGATAGGTAACATAATCAAATCAGATGCTGTGTTTAAAGCAGCAGATTCACTTCTTTTATCTTTTATACTTACAATTTACTTTTGCTTAATTACAATATAGACATTTTCGTTGTTAATTTATGTAGCCTTTTACTTAGGAGTATTCTGTATTTTGCCATTTGAAAACTAATCCCTATTTGACAATTGACTGATTATTTTTTATTGCAGCACACAACTACAGTGAACCAGATAAGTATTGATGCAAATGGAGATTTTATGGCCAGCTGCTCTGATGATGGAAAGGTAAAAAAAAAATAGTCATTGACTTAAATGTGCCAAGTTTTTTTCTTGTAATATAAACAAGTAATCCAAATAATAAATAATGTCCATTATTACTTAGCATTCCATTTTATTATCTTATCAATTTTTTCCCCAGGTTGTCATCACAGGGTTGTACTCTTCTGATAGTAATCAAGTTGTGGAACTCAACCGACCTGTCAAAGCCATTGCACTAGATCCACAGTATTATAAACCAAATAGTGGAAGGCAGTATGTCACTGGTGACGATAAGGTTCACTATTTGTTTACAAAATTGCTTAACATCTATTCTTCTTATTTTACTATGTTCTTAGTTTCACCTCTTCATCTCACAATATTCTTCATCAGCGACCAGCAAAGTGCAGACCACTACATCTGTAATCTCATTTCATCAAGACACTCTTTGCTATTGTTTTCTCTTACTTTCTTAGTTCTCAAGCTTTTATTAGTTTTCATAATGATCCTAGCATTCTAGTGCTAGGTGTGATTTTTTTTTTCTACCTCTAGCCAATTATTTTGCTCTTTGTTGGACTGTATTTGCTTATTTTATTCTTAAACAGTTACTTCTGAATGAGAAAAGTGGCTTTTTAGGCAGACACAAAACAACTGTACTCCATCAAGGTGAAGGTCCTATTCGCAATATAAAATGGGGTGGAGAGTTCATTGCTTGGGCTAATAACCATGTAGGTACCTTTTCATGTGTGCTCCTTGTTATTGTCCTTGACATCATATTTTAGTTTTTCTGATCTGTTATTATCACTTAAGTATTTTGTTTCATGAAAAATAAAATAAATGTGTTTGATTTCCATATCTAAAAAAAATATACATCCTTCATTTATTTTTAACATACATTTTTTATTCATTTATTTAAACTGTGCACTCTTTTTTTCTGTCAGGGTGTTAAGGTGTATGACACAACCTCAAAGTCCAAAATTACCAAGATTGATAAAGACCATGAGTATGTAATAATATATCAATACAAAACATTATTAAAATAAACTTTATTTACTTGAAAATACTGTTTAGCTGATCTTTATTAGTTAACTCAAGAAAATAACAACACCAACTACTTATTTTTCATCTTAATCTGTATATGTTTTAAAGGAGTAGGCCTATATGTGGTTGAGCTATTACTTTAAAATACAAATTAAGTAGATAAGATTGCCATCTCTTTTATACCTGCTACACAACACCCAGAATGTAAAGCAAACATGAGCTCATTGTTATTCAATTTTTACTCTTAGTTTGCGCCCTGAGCTGTGCATTTGTCAGTTAGTATGGCGAGACAGTAGAACCTTGCTAATAGGTTGGGCTGATAGAATAAAGGTTAGTTTTTTTCATGTATTTATGCTTGTATTCATGTAGTTGCAAAAATAATTTTGAAAGTATTTCCTGCAAAAAGCACTAATGAGAAAAATAAATATTCTCTTTCCCCATGAACAGATCTGTGTTGTTAAAGATCAGGTAAAAACAGATATGCGTGACAATGCACCCACAAGATTTTGTGAAATAAGCAAGTATTCTTCATCCATTTCTTTTCTTAAGTTCTATGCCTGTTGGTCACACTATTGCATATTTCACTCAGAATTAGGATGTGTCAACAGGAAAGGAAGTATTTGCTAAAGGAACATTACAATTTTGTTTATATTTTGACAAAATTTATCAGCATGAAATAGTAGGACTGTTTTCAAATAAACAGATTAAGAATTATTCATTTTTAATTGATTTTCTTCAACAGCATCTATGTTTACAACTGATTTTATTGTATGTGGGATAGCTCCTTTAGCTACCAATCTAGTTGTCCTTTCCTATGACAAAACTGGAGAAAAAATTGAGGTAACATATTTTTATTATATGTATATAGACTTATAGGCCTAATTCATTTTAAAAAGAATTTAAATCAGTTTTATTTCTTTACCCAAACAATTAAATTAAGAAGCAAATGCTGCCCCATGTGTAACTGACTGAATTATCTTTCTGTTTAAATTTTTAATCTACCTCTGTTCAGCACATTTTTGGACTTACAGTAATAGGCATCAGCTGAAAATTCACTGCTGAATGTTTACATTTGGTTTTAGGAAGGTCGTATGTCAGCTGGGAGACCACACCTTCAAATACTTGAGCCCCACCTGAAACATTTTGAAGAGATATCTAACGATGCCCTCTCCATCCGCGGGTTTCAGGAGTACAGAAGCATTGAGTATCATCTTGGTAAATATTTCAGCTCTAGTTTGTCGTAGGGCCTACTGTTTACATTTTTAATCCTTAAATTTTTAATTCGCTTCATTCTGCAAAGAATTATTTTTAATCAACTCTTCCTTAATATCCTGGTAAGCATATACATTTTAAAACATGTTCTTTATTGTCAATTTATACATTCAAACAATTCTTCCTAAACTTTTCTTTTTAAGTTAATACAAAACATCCTGTGTCTATCAGAAGCAAATAAAATAAGCATTAAAGGGCCACATTGCTCATTATAGACTTCAATAATTTAATGTTCCAGTTTTTATGAACTAGAAAAAGAATGCGATTTCTATTAACTTAAAAATTTGTTTGACTCTCCAGAGTGCCTACCTGATGAAAATTTGTATTTCATTGTAAGCCCCAAGGATGTTGTGGTTGCTAAACTTAGAGATCAAGATGATCATATAACATGGTTGATGGAACATGGCCGTTATGAGGTAGATTTAGTTTTGTTCCTTTAAAAACTTGGCCATTTTTAAGTAGATATAAAATGGGTATAGTTGGAATATGTGGTAGATTCCTCTTTATAGTTTAAAACTTGAAGTCGAAAAATGTACTCTCTAGTTAGAGTTAGGGTGTTTTTAACCAGTGAAACTTAGAACAGTGTAAATAGATTTTACTGAATTATTTAGAATTCATTTTTTCAATACTGTTATCCTACATTCTTATTCACTATTAAGCAATCTAGTGGTTCAAGTTGTATCATTTTGGTTGTATTTAACAGGAAGCTATGGCAGTAGCATTAGAGCACACTAAAGAACTAAAGACACATTCTTATCATGTAAGTATTTTTTAAATTTTAAGTCTGATTGACAATCTATTTTTTTGTGGAAATTGCAAAAAAGATTTAGGTACTTCAACCTTGTTTGAAAATTGGTTTATTCTAAACTACAGGCAGATCTATCTTGATTTTTAAAAAAAAATGCTTTTTTTCCTCTAGGCTATAGGCAGAGCTTACTTGGATTACCTTCTGGAAGAACAAGCCTATGATGAAGCTGGCAGATTGTGTGTGAAGATCCTGGGCAAGAAGAGAGAATCCTGGACAGAAGAGATCTACAAGTTTGCCAAGATCAAACAATTAAAAGTAACAATTTACGATTTATATTATATTTCCATTAAAACTAAACAATTAAATTAAGCAAATTTTAAAGTTAATTGTCCTAACGATGCAACAATTAAAATTAATGTTCAAATATCAGTAGTTTGTCCATTAAATAATTTAAATGAAACCACAGTTATTTACTTACTTGTTTTATCATATCCTATTATTTTGAATAAAAAGACAAGTTTTCCTAATGTGACTTGTAGACACTTTCCCCCTTTATTATCTAGGCTATTGCAACATACATTCCAAGGTCAGATCCCAGACTTGATTCAGCTATATATGAGATGGTCTTGAATGAATTCCTTTCTTCCGATTATGAGGTACTTTGTTTTATTTACAAACATGTTTAGTTGTACATTATTATTTTTTCTAAGACATATAATATTTAATTGCAGTTCAACAGGATTTTTTTGTCATTGTTCAGGCCAGGGTCTTATTAAAATTGCTTACATTTATGCATGTCTTGTTTTAAAAGAGTTTTACATGTAATATTCCAGAGGTTTTACCAACTGGTGAAAGAATGGCCCCCTGACCTCTATGACAGTGAATCAATCATTAATGTCATACTTGCCAGGCTGGACAGAGAGAAAAACCATGAGCTCTTGCTACAAAGTTTAGGACAGTTGTAAGTTACTACTTTTATAGAACAACTGATTTTAGATTTTTACGTAGCTAAATTTGGGTCCGATAGTTTAAACTTAATTTTGTGTGGTAAATATGTAAAAAACACAAAACAAAAAAAAAGTCATGCTTTTAATCCGGGAACGTAGTACTGGAATACATGTTTCAAAATAAAATTATCATTTGTGTTTTTGCTATGAATAAAATTTGGTGATATGTCGTGTTTACAAAAGTTACACCTTTGTAGGAGCGGATATCATAAAAGGTACGAATGAGACTTGTTTAATTTTGTATTAAACTTCACACTTCTTTAACATCATGCACATAATTTCTGTCTTAGGTATGCACATCAGAAGGCTTTTGATAAAGCCCTTGGGATATATCTAAGGTAAGAAGTTGAATAAAATAGTCATTTAACTTTTTAGAAACTAACATAATTTTTTTTTTTAAATGTGTTTCAAATTTATTAAACTTTGTGTTGGCTGGCCATATATTAAACAATGAGGAAATGTTTAAGTTAAAATATATATTAACTAATTTTGTAATTATTTGAAATATATGCAACATTTTTATTTTGTTTTCCAAGTTTGTTTGAAGTTACATTAAGAAAAATGATCTTATAAAAAGAAATCACTTTAAAAGTGTTTCATTAAATAAATTATTCCTGCATTAACAACTCAGTAACTTTATGAAGATATTTCCCTTTTTGTTACAGAGAAAATATTGCTGTTTACACAATATTTTTTTCTTTAGGTTAAAGCACAAAGATGTTTTTACACTGATCCATGACCACAAGCTGTATGATAAAATTAGTGATAAAATAATCCAGTTAATGGACTTGGATAAAGACAGGGCAGTTAAAATGCTACTGGACCACAATGACACCATTCCTGTGAGTGTTAAACTGATATCACATAACCAGTGTATTTGTACAATAGAATTATCTTAATCTTTGAACATGTTTAAGTTTATTCATCTTTAGCATTTACCCCATTTAACTTACAAAAATCTCTGTCTACTCAGGCCAGATTCCTGTTGCATGTTAAAATGTAAGTTCTATTCTGCATGCTCTGTACAATTCTTGGTCTAAAGAATTTATTTTTATTGTCTTATTTCAGGTTGAAAAAGTTGTGCAGCAGCTTAGCAAGTCACAGAGATATCTCTACCTGGTAAGATAGTTATTATAAAATAATTAATTCTGGTCTGAAAATAACTAATGAAAGCACAAATAATTAAATTCAAGCATTTCACATTATTTACAAACAAAGTTTGTTATCTAAATTATTTAGTTTTGATTTTCACTCTTTTGTTTAAAATTTAAATTAATATCAAAACAAATTAATGTTTCATTTCTGTTTATCAAAATTCCTTTTTATAGTATCTGGATCAGCTGGTACAGAAAGACTTGCAAGGAACACAAGAATATCATGGCCAGTTAGTCAAGCTGTATGCAGAGTTTGAAAGGCCAAAACTTCTGCCGTTCTTGCGCCGAAGTGAATTCTACCCTCTGCAGACAGCTTGGGAAGAGTGCGAGGCACGTGACTATGTCAATGAACAAGTGTTTTTACTAGGTACAAATCACTTTGGCTAGAAAATAACTTACTCAGTTATTATCTGTTTTTGGATTGCTGGGGAATTTTCTCCCCTCTTTGTTGATGTTTTAGTAATAGATTGTTTTATTCATTGAAATTATTCTGGGCTTTATTATTTTGAATAATTTTGTTTGGTATTATCTTGTCCAACCTAACAGAAATATTTTTAGCTACACAAAATATAAACTAGACCTAATGTCCAGATCAGTTGTAAAACCAATTTTTTCTTCTGTCATTCAAACCAGGTCGGATGGGAAACTTGACTCAAGCCCTGAAGCTTATCACAGAGAAGTTGCAGGATGTAAATCATGCTATTCAGTTCTGTATGGAGCAAGCTGATGAGGAGCTGTGGGAGAATCTGATAGAATACGCAATGGGAAACCCAAGTAAATGATGAATTATTGCTTGTGATTATTGACACATCATGTCTTACAACTTTGAAATATTTGCGTGAATTATAATTCAGGAAGAAAGGCTTTTAAAAAGTCTTTAATTCTGCAGTAACTCACATTCTGTACTAAGTAAAGCTCCCTTTTGTACTTGATGACCCATGGGGCAGGTGAAGTAGAGTTTATATTTTTCTGTGACCTCAGTAGATTAAATGATAGAGTAATCAGCACTATGCCCAGCTTCGCAATCTGTAGATGGACACAATTTCCTGTTGTGTTTCGAGTATGAAGGTCTGGGTAGAACAAAAACTCACTACTGTAGGGATTTTTCTAGATGTGTTACCAAAGTTTTAGTCTGGATTTCCTACTGAAATTGATAGTAAAAACTTTACTACATTGTTTAACAATGTTTTTATCCTCAGAATTCATCACTGCCCTGCTGCACAATGTGGGTGCTCACATTGATCCTATCAAAGTTATTAGTAAAATAAGAAAAGACATGGAAATCCCTGGTCTAAGAGACTCATTGGTCAAGATTCTGCAGGACTACAACCTTCAGGTGAGCACTGGCTGCATCTACTTCACTCAATCAACATCACACTAAGCCTGACTATTCTCTCACCAGCATTACAAGCTTAGCCTGACTATTCTCACACCAGCATCACAAGCTTAGCCTGACTATTCTCACACCAGCATCACACACTAAGTCTGACTATTCTCACACCAGCATCAAAAGCTGAGCCTGACTATTCTCACATCAGCATCACACACTAAACCTGACTATTCTCACACCAGCTTCACAAGCTGAGCCTGACTATTCTCACACCAGCATCACACACTAAGTCTGACTATTCTCACACCAGCATCAAAAGCTGAGCCTGACTATTCTCACATCAGCATCACACACTAAACCTGACTATTCTCACACCAGCTTCACAAGCTGAGCCTGACTATTCTCACACCAGCATCACACACTAAGCCTGACTATTCTCACACCAGCATCACAAGCTGAGCCTGACTATTCTCACACCAGCATCACAAGCTTAGCCTGACTATTCTCACACCAGCATCAAAAGCTGAGCCTGACTATTCTCACACCAGCATCACAAGCTTAGCCTGACTATTCTCACACCAGCATCAAAAGCTGAGCCTGACTATTTTCACACCAGCATCACACACTAAGCCTGACTATTCTCACACCAGCATCAAAAGCTGAGCCTGACTATTCTCACACCACATCATCAAAAGCTGAGCCTGACTATTCTCACACCAGCATCACAAGCTTAGCCTGACTATTCTCACACCACCATCAATAGCAGAGCCTGGCTATTCTCACACCAGCATCAAAAGCAGAGCCTGGCTATTCTCACACCAGCATCAAAAGCTGAGCCTGGTTATTCTCACACCAGCATCAAAAGCTGAGCCTGACTATTCTCACACCAGCATCACAGGTTTAGCCTAACTATTCCATATTATTACAGAATCTACTTTTTTTAAAGAATAGTGAATTATCCAAGACTGAAAACTTGTTTTAATCAAATTATTTTAGATTTTCTATTTTTAAAAAAATTCCCAATAAAGTATTTTTATAATTATTATTACCTTAGTGATTATTGTAGACGCAGAAGCTTTATCAATACACAATTTGATAAAGAAATACACACTATTTTAATCATAAGTTTTTCAATAAATTGTTATATCTCCCCCAATAGCTTTCACTGAGAGATGGCTGCAGAAAGATTCTGGTGGCTGACAGTTTTAACCTGTTGGAGAGGCTAGTCAAAACACAAAGGCGGGGTGTTTTTGTTGATGGTAGGTCTTTGCTTACCAATAGTTTTAACCTGTTGGAGAGGCTAGTCAAAACACAGAGGCGGGGGGAGGGGTTTTGTTGATGGTAGGTGGTTGCTTACCTCACGTTGAGTCTTACCCCAAATAGTTTTAACCTTTTAGAGAGGCTAGTCAAAACACAGAGGAGGGGTGTTTTTGTTGATAGTAGGTCTTTGCTCATGTTAAGTTTTACCCCAAATAGCTAACTTAAAACCAAATTTCAAATATTTCAGTGATTTTTTTCTAACAAAATAGTCAGTGTAACATTGGTTAGTACTTCACATTACTCAATGTAGTTTGTTGTATGCTTCATTAAGCTTCATTATTGTTTAAAAGATTAAGATAATTAAAAACTACATTTCTCCCATTGTCTTAAATTTGATACCAAGTTCACTTAACATATATCAATAAACTTAAAAATGCTTTTTAAAAAAGTATTAGTTATGTATTGGCTACCATGCAAAACCTCTTTGTAAATTCTTAATTGCTTCTCGCTATTATTTCAGCTAGATTTTGACTGTTTAAATATGAAATGTGAAAAATGAAGTGTGGTTTAGTTAGCCATAGTGTTGTTCAAGTTCAAATTATTTTTTACCTAATTCACTGGTTAAAAAACAAATATCTAATAACAGTACAACCCTGTTTAAAATTTGATAATTGATGTGTACAGAAAGTAGATTAATGAAAAGAAAGAGTGGGCTATCAATGTTGTACATAAAAAATATAGTATTGTATACTGTCTCTCCAGGTAGTCAGTTATGTCCAGTCTGCAACCAGAGGCTGACAGTAAATGGTAAGTTTTCTTCCTGTTATTTGTCAGCAGATGGCTAGTAGTCTACCTGTTTGTATTTTTGACAGTGCATGGTTAAATGGTTAGTAATCATCTGTGTTTAATTTGTAAACTATGTTAACACATTGTACTGTAAAGTGAATTGGTAACAAAAATATAAACCAAACTTTAATTTGGATTTTTCATTTCAGATTTACGGTTTGCTAGTAACCTTAATGTCTTTCATTGCCGCCATGCATTTCATGAGGATTGCCTGCCAGCATATGTAGTAAGTAAAAAAAAGATTTTTTTTTAAATTGGTAGGTAAAGATCAAACATCCAGAAATGACTAGCGCAAAACTACCTGTATAAGAGTGAAAATTCCAATTAATCCTCAAGCAAATTGACTTAACCATCTCCATTTGTGTTTCAGACTAATTGTATAATTTGTAATTCTATCAAGAAAGATCGTCGGCCTGGAGCAAGAGAACATTTTATGAAATAACCTTTGACGTAATAAACCATACTTGTAATTATTGTTTAATGCTTAAAGCTTTTTCACTGTTATTTTATTTAAGTGCATTAAATGTTTAATTTTGGTGATAGCTTTTGCTACAAATTGCTTAAGTCTGACCTAGATAATTGTACTGCATTAAGCAATTTTTTTGTGGAAATGTCAAACTGAATATTTAAAGATAAATGGCTAGTGTAATCAGCTTTTATTTTTACTATTTTACATAGGCTTGATTGTAAGAATGGGAATAAATGAAACATTTCAAATAATAATGTTGATGCAAGTTAAATTATTTTGGAAAGAAAAATACATTGAATTGTGAGAAATATATTATTTGTTTACAATCATATCCTTTGCTTCTGTTGCATTTACTTATTTATCATAACAACTCAGAATTGTTTTTCAAACAATACACAAGACCAAAGCAAAATGTAAATAGTTTTTTTAATAAAGTTTTAAAATATGATTATGACAAATACTGAAAAATATTTGTTAGTAAAAATATGTAACAAAATCAGTTCCCCATTTTAAGTAACAAAGCTCCCCTATAAATTTTTTTTAATAAAAATGAAGGTGCAACCGTATACCTAGAGTAGTAGTCAAATTTAACAAAATATAAAGCAGCTAATCACAAGGTCTAGGCAAAACCATGGTGACTGATGCATCCTTTATCACAAATGGAATGTAATTATCACATTATTCTAAATGAAAAATAATTTAGCAAAAATATCACAAAAATTAGCTACAAACATTTTTACTATGGTTATGTTAAAAACATGGCATTTTTTTAAGGTTTAACTAACAAGAATGAAAGAAAATTAATATAAGCCAACAAGTCACATAAATACAAACATATATTGCACAATTTGCTATAGATGACTCTAAAAGAATGTATTATTTTGCCCTTTGATTATAAATAATATAAATTACACAATAATATAATTATAAATGTGTTCTAAACATATTCAAATTGCATTCATATCTATACAATGTATATTGTTATATTATGCGCTTTTTTAGAGAAAATGGTGAATTAATTTTTCTCACAGTGAGAGATAGGTTGCCAGAAATACTTGTTCCTATCTTGTATTAAACAGGTTTTAGTTGTAGTACCATTTTTCATCACTGGACACCACATGTCACACAGTGTGTATTAGAATCAGCACAGAATTAGAATCAGGCAGATCTAACCTCATGTAATGAGTTTTAGAAATATTGGGAAGGAGAGAAAAAAAAGGCTTTTCAATAAAATATTGAAATTTAACACCAAATATCAAGAAACCCACAAACATGTATTATGACCATAGGCCTTTGTCATATTAATTAAAAATATTTTTCAAATATGAACTCATCTATTGGATGGTTCAGTCAGAAGTAAATTAAATTACACATACGATATATTAATATTCAGCCAATTGAAACATCTATAGATAGTCTGGAGTGAAAAGATGATTGGGTTAGATGCCATCCAACAAATGCAGTGAAATAGGTTGTTAGTAAAAGGAAATGGACAATGCAGCAGACAGATGAAGCTGACAATCAGGGGTAAAGATAGAGGAAGACCTGGGTGATGACAGATTGCTGGGAGAAACTAAATCAAGCTGCCAGGAAAGCTTTTATCAAATACCAATGTTCAAGTAAATAGCATTGGATAGATGTGTTGGTTCATAGCCCTCCTTAAATGCTGATAGAAACTGGTGTACTAATTCACACTATTAATCACATTATCTTAACAAGGAAAAAATAATGTCCAAATACATTGTTAATTAGAGATTTTAGAACAATTACATTAGCTTGAATATAATTTAACATGACTAAGAAATTTAATAATATTATAAGTGAAGATGGCATGAAGGAAATGCCACCATGGATATATATTTTAGTTAAGTGATTTAAAAAAAAACAACACTGCTAAAATAAAAAGTATTCAATTAGTCAAAAACTCAAATTAGTTAAGATCTTAGAGGTCATCACAAACTTGCTAATTAAAACATTAGTAAGTTAATTAAGACAATCACCAATGGTCATAAAAAACTCCAACTAAAATACAAATTCCAAAATATTTAGTAAAGAAATTAAAATATTAAATGTTTGGTTTCTCAAAAATTGTTGATTGCCTAGACAAATGCTTATGTGATAAAATATATGGCGCAAGTTAAAAGACTCGATTTTTACAAATTTTCCAATGTTAAACAAAGCACTAAAAACAATAAATGTGTGTGAGAACAAATCTTCAGCCCAATCAAGTTGCTACCAGCATGCCAGTTGTTAAAATGTAATGACCACAGCGGTAGCATTGTCTACACTTAAAACATCATTAAATGGTGGCTCAACTATCTTACTGATCTTGTTGAAATCTTAATAAATAACAAGGACATTTTTAAAACAGAAGTGTTAATATCACTAGAACATTGTTAAATAACAATTCAACACCTTACATTTTTTAACTGAAAAACAAGAAAAATTTTAAAGCTTTAACATAAACTTTTAAAATAACATTTCACTATCAGTTTTTTGACTGAAAATATTGATGTACATGAACATCTACAAAATAAAAGTGAATGGTGTAAAAATTTTAGCATTGGAGTCACTAACAATATTATAATAAAGAATAACAGGTACTGAAAGACATTTGTTATTATCAATGGCTCTGATTTAAAATTTGGGGCCTGTTTCACCCTCCAGCTATTAATAAATATGACACTTCCACAACTTCAGTGGCTCTGTTTTAAAAGTTGGGTCCTCTGTCTGTCCCCCCAGTACAAGTAAACAAAGTTCAGAGTCCCCCATAATGGAATGGCTAAAAGGGAGAGTACTAGTATTGCAGCGTGCCAATGGTGAAGTAAAACCATGATGCAGCTCTTGTGTGTCTGTGACTAGAAAGTCCTGTGTCTGGGTACCAATAGAATGGTGCTTTGATGCAGCTAAATCTTGGTCAGATGGAGAACTCACATCAAGGCCTAGCTCAGCACTGAAAGCATTGATCGTTTCTTTTTCAGGCGCGGAGCTGTTGGAGGATGGGCTGCAGGCTTGTTTAGTTGCATGGTTCATTTGGGTAGGGAGTGGCTTGTGACAGCTGCTGTGAACTGTGTGGTGTGGTGTGTGGTGGCTGGAGTAAACTTGGGTAGGGTGTGGTACATGATGGCTGCTGTGAACTGTGTGGTGTGGTGTGTGGTGGCTGGAGTAAACTTGGGTTGAGTGTTGCGCGAGTTGACCAATGTTTTCCATGCTGCAGCTGTCTAAGCCAGGAAGAAGTCTGGACTGTGGTGGTGAGTGGTGGACGGGTGTCTGTTGGATGAACAGCTGATCTACATCACACAATTCTAAATCTTCAATGTTCAGATCATCAAATTTTGATTCCACTGTCAAATCTTCAACAAACACAACATCCTTGTAATCATATTTAGATGTTGGTGAGCGATGACTTTGTGTTGAAGAAATAAATAAGTCATATTTCAGTTGTGAAGATTCATTGTATAAATCCATATAGAAAGGATTGACAAATGAATTTTTACTTGATTCGTTAAAATTTGTAAATTTTTTAAGTACATATTCTTTTTTATCAAAATTAGCTTGACCTGATATGTTTTGAAAATGCTTTTGGGTCAATGTTGCCCAGCGGTTGTCAGCGTCAAAACCTGTGTTGCCTGGAGTTGAATGGTCAAGACACTTCACACTACTCAACTTCTCCTCTCTACCATCAATGTTTTCATCTGAGATGGTAAGGCTCAGGTTGTTTTCTCCCCATTCAACATCAGATAAAACAGAGTGGAACCGCTGCAGCAATGGGATGTTGTCCCTGCTATGTTCAACACACGCTGGTGTTATTTTACCTGAGCTCTCGGACTGATGTCTGCAGGCTGGTGCTATTTTACCTGAGCTCTCGGACTGATGTCTGCAGGCTGGTGTTATTTTACCTGAGCTCTCGGACTGATGTCTGCAGGCTGGTGTTATTTTACCTGAGCTCTCGGACTGATGTCTGCAGGCTGGTGTTATTTTACCTGAGCTCTCGGACTGATGTCTGCAGGCTGGTGCTATTTTACCTGAGCTCTCGGACTGATGTCTGCAGGCTGGTGCTATTTTACCCAACCTCTCGGAATGATGTCTGCTTTCTTCAACATTGAGAACATTAGCTGCTTTAAACAAACCTGTACAATTTCTGTCTTTTTCATTTGCATCACAGCAAGAAAAAGATGTCTCTGCCTCAATATTCAGAACTTGGTCCAAGTTTGTAGGACAAGATCTATCAAGTGCATCCATCTGATAGTCGCCAGCATTAGAAGTTGCCTCAAATTTCTTGTCCTGGAAGTTAAGCTGGGGTGGGCTGGTCATAGGCCTGGTCATTTCTTCTCTAACTACTCCCTTTGATTTCAGTTGGGGGACAGACTGGGAGCGGTCCTTGGTGTCCTGTACAGCAGAAGGCCTGAGCACAACAGAGGTGTGTAGTGACACACATGGGTACGTGTCACAGTGGTCAAATGTTAGCTGCTTCCATGATTCAGTCTCTGTAAGGTGCAATAAAAATTGTGGCCAGAAAGTTATTTCAAAACAACACGACTATATACATACTTTAACCTTCAATTAACTAAAATTGTTGTTCAAATAAATTTAAAGTAACATTTTAACCCAAGATCTAAAACAAAACAATTAATAATTAACACTTTCAGACAAGAATATTTTAAAAATAAAATTAGTTATCTAATACATGTTTAGAACCTGAATTTCACATTTAAAAAAAAATATATTAAACTTTAGAAGTGTGATAATTGAAACAGAAGACACTGAACATATACTGACCAAAATTAAAAGCCCAAATATCATGAACAACTGCTCCTAGCCTGGAACCACCAACCAGTAGAAGTGTGTTGTCTGTCTGTGGAACAAACAAAAAGACACTTTTATGTCAGACTTTGGACAATATTCAGCAAACATTTTCCCCCTTAACCTTAACACAAACACAAATCTCCCCTTATCCCATATCTCTGTATCCTAATCACCAATACATCTTGCCCCAGTATCCCAATACGTTAATTTCTTACCACATGAGCAGTGTGATTGGATAATGTAGGACACAAGCCAAGGCCCTTAACTTTACTCCATTTACACAAAGCTGGAATAAAAATAGAACACCAGTGAGCAAAAGCAAGTTTAAAATCATTCACAAACTTGGTAAAAATTTAAAATGTAATTATTCCTTTTATTTATGGAATGTAATTGTATCCCTATACAAGATTTGACCTACCATGTTTCACAGAGAGAAAGACACAAAGTTTTATGAGCATTAATTTTTACATATTTTACCATCTACAACAAAAAAAGATACTGGACATCTTAGAAAAAAATGCAAAGTGTAAAAACTTATTTCACACCTTAAATTGATTCAAAACTTCATAACCTACTGGACTTCTATAACTACAAGGAAATTAATATACTATTCATTGTTTAGAAACACAATTTGAACAAATGACAGAAAAGAGTTAAGAAGACTAGCCGGAACAATGCTTGGCTGGCTTTATTTTCCCTATTTTAAATCAGATTCCAGTGCTGGGTTAACCCTGGAACATCCTACATGCATGAGCCATAAAAGTTACACTTAACTGTATCTACATGAAACAAAAACAGCTTACAAAAATTAGACTTTACAGTACCCCAACATGAAACAAAAATAGCTTACAAAAATAACACTTTACAGTAGCCCCCACAAGAAATAAGAAGAGTTTACAAAAATATTTTACAGTACCACAACATGAAACAAGAGCTAACAAAAATATTTTACAGTACCACCACATGAAACAAGAGCTTACAAAAATGGTACGTCCAAAGATCAGATAACGCTGTCAGCTCCCTCATACCACCATGCAGCCACATACTGTTGGAGAATACAACCGCCACATGGCCATGGCGTTTGCCAGGTTTTCTGTGATGAACATTAACCCACTCTTCTTCGTCTGTTCAAAGAAAGTCAAAATAAATAAACAACTGAAAAATTAAAATCAGGATTGTATAAAGGTTTTAACCAGCAGTTTTTTAAAGGTAGTTTACAGAGTAACAAATAAATGCACTACACCTATATCAAAAGCCCAGAATTCATCAGTTGAGCCTGAATGATCTAAAAATCCTCCGTAAATAAACATAGTATTTTTGTAAACCACGGCTGAATGCTCTCGTCTCCCACTGGGTTGTGCTGCTGATGGGTCGTACCACTTACGGAGGACAGCCAGATCTGAAGAAAACATGCGACCATTATAAAATGTCAATACACAAAGTGCAGAGGAGGTGTTTGATAAACAGCATGGCTGAACAAAACTAACACAATTTAAAGATCCGAACAGCTAGACCAAAACTAACCTGGGTTATAAATCCACAGGGGTATCTCTTCTAATGAGTCATGGAAGGTTCCACCAAAAATTAACAGCTGAGACTGCAGTACAAAAGAGATTCCAGTAAAACTAAGGATAATGTGATGTTTTTAAGTGCTCAATGTATAGAAGTAAAAATATTGAGAATTAAAATTTTCCACCAATTGTTTCCCAACATAACATGTTAAACTGTGCAGTTTCTAACTTTTTATTCCTACAAGACAATTTAAAACTGTGCAGAGTTCTCTATCCTTTTAACCTAAATAACAAATAAAACTGTGGAATTCTCTAACCTTGTAAGAAACCATTGTGTGACCTTGCAGATGGGGCAGCTTGGATTTAGTTTCTTCTATCTCTTCCCATGTTTGATAAACTAGAAGAAATCACAGACCAGCATTAGCTTTCACTACAATATTTCAAGCCTAGTGTTTAGTCTACACAAAATGGGTGATCTAGCAAAAGGCTCATAGCTCATATTAACATCTCATGGGCATGGCAGATCAGTAAATAAAGCTGATTTAACTATTTTCAATCAGAACTTAATTAATGTAAACAAGACCCCTCAAAGACAGCACAAAATAAAATGTAATTTCTAAGATCCAACCTCGATAGGTAAAAAGATTTATGACATTAATCAAGGGTAATTATTGAAGCCCCAGGGCTTGTAAGTAGGTCACCAACTTCTCGTTCTCATACTTGCCAGCTAGTATTTTCAAACCAAACATGAATATTTATTAAATTAGTAAAAAAAAATAATAGGAAAGTTACTTCTGCTATGTTATTTAAAATAGTAAACAATGATAATGTAGGCTAGATTAAAGATAAATATCACCTAATTTAAATTGTGATTTTCTTTAAATAGAAGTGTACAGTTTGTTATTATTTATTTCAATCTGTAACAAGTTGTCCTATGTTACAATATTAATATAAACGAGCCGACCCGCTGCGTATCATACGCCGCTATTTAGTTGTTTTTTTTTCTACTTTTCAGTAATTTATAATTTGTGAATTCGACAGTACCAATGCTGCCATTGAAAATATTTGCTTAAAAACACTACCCCCCCCCCACGTGAAAGCAGCCTCCTCTTAGTTACCTCCTCTAAGTTTAAAATCGTTTCAAACTAAATTATCTGCCCCTAATAGCCGTCACCAAACCCGCCTTTGTGATTGTAAAATGTAAACAGAGTGAACACCGCTCACCAGATCATGTGGGGGTGGGGTGGGGGTGGTAGTGATAGTGATAGAGAGGAAGAGAGGGGACTGCAAAGGCGCGCTTGCAGCTTGTTTTCTAACTGATCCCAGAAGAGAATTATATACATAGATATTAAAAGCGTAGGCCTAGCGATACTTCGGATTTGATTTTATTATTAGTAATAATTGTTGCATGTTGGGTACTCATGGTATTTTAAAATCTTTAAAAATTAAAATTTACCATCCATTTTTCATTGCAAGATAGGTTTTCACAGTGTTAAAAACAAATTGGCCTTAGAGACACCATTAAAGTTTAAAAATGGAAACATCTGTTATTTTATCTATACTAACTTATCTATTCTTTTGTCTTGTTGACTAAATGTGTTCTCAATTGATTCTTTAACTTTGCATCTCATCAAGTGATACAAGAAATACTTAAGGTCTAAAAGTAAGGTCTAACAAGATAATGTTTAAAAGAATAAGCGAGTTTACACAAGTATTTTAATGGAAACAAACTTAACCAATTTAATATAAATTATTTACACTTACCTGTGTCTAATCTCCAGAAATCTTTAAGTGGACTGTACCTATCTTTTCCTCCGTACATATACAAATACCGGCCATGCATGCAGGAGGCATGGTGAAACCTGTTACGAGGCACAGATGTTGCAACCGTTTTAGTCTTTTTGTCTGAGCTAGGCCCATCTTCACTGTGTGGCTTTTGTTTCTTCTCATAAGACACACAAGACCACTGAAAACTGTGTGACGTCACCTGGTCACTGTGGCTGATTTTCATCGAGGTTAAGTAGCAGAGCCCGAATCAGAACATTTTAGTTGGCTGAGAAAGTAAAGAAAATAAGTAGTGTTAAGACTCACTATTAATCAGCAGTTATATGTTGTAAGATCACTCGATTAGAACTATGCCAGTATAAATCTCCATAATTTACTACTTAATGACTTTAAAATGCAATACAACCAAAAAGAATAAAAATATGATATAAATAGAGTTCAAAAAGTAAAATAAATATATACATATTTATGTACATATAATAAAAATACAAATTATTCCAATGATTTAATGTCACTAAAATTGTACATAACTAATGCTGAACCTTCTCTAGAAATATTACATTGAAAACAACTAAGTACCAGTAAAAGATCAAATATGTTTCTACTATCTGTTGGTAGAAATTTTGAACACAAAACAACCTAAAAATACTTATCTAAAAATGTCTTAACTACCTGTTGATCAGTTCAATGCAACACCCATAAAAGAACACTCCTTACAGATAGGTTGGAAGCAATAAATCTGTCAAGTCAATAGTCTATAAATAGCTGATGTCATTTCATGGCAGTGCTTAGAACTACTTTTCCTCTCACCTCAACGAAAATTATGGAACACCCATTAAGGAATACTTAATCAATAACTTGTGCCAAAAATAGAATAAACTGTAAGGTGAATGCACTGTATCATTTTTTTTTTAATTTCCTTTCATAAGGCAGAGTGGCACATATATTCAAACTAGTAAAGCCTTCTAGTAAAGATCTTATAACACAGAACTGACCATGCCAAACAGGAGATAAAAGCCACCAATAATTACATGCAAATGAAAAAAAAAACACATTTATTTGAAGACAAATCCAGTTCTAAATATTGTTTTTGAAAATGACACTAATGCCCCTTCCCTACAAATCTATAATCAATGAGAAATGTAATTATCTCTGTTTACAGGGTAATTTAAAATAGCCATCACTATCAGTGTACATACAAACAGCTCACACAGTGACCTGGTTGCTATGGGGACCCAGTAAAAACAGTGTCAGATTAAGGTCAGGCAAACAGTTAAAATGTAATAGCACAAACACTGGCTAATGGTTTCAGCTTATGGGACTGGTCAAATTAAAATAAGTCCTTTTATCTTTCTTTTTTTTTGTCTCCAGCACTAATTCTCTTTTAATGACCTAGGATATTGCTGCAATGTTTCAAGAGTCAACTAAACTATCCAGTCACCATGGCATCCACATAGGACAAGTAAAGCAGTCGATAAGTGACAGCAGTCTATAAGTGACACAGTTTGAAATAACATTATACAAATACAAACCATGATATTATTTGGAAATTTAAAAAAAAACTTGTCTGGAATTCAGGGTCTCACAAAACAAATTTGTATAAATCATCCATGTCATTCATTCATTTAGTTTTCATTCTACCATAACTTTAGTTGGTCACAATCGCTCAAGGATACACAGCCTGATCACTGAAGCATGGAGAATGTGCACTCTCCCCAGGGTTCATATTTGTACCAGCAGCTGAAGCCAAACACACCAGCAGTCACATGACTGCTAGAGTTTAGGTTTAACAGTACTTAAGTTTCGTTTTACTTGGTGGGTCTTATTGAGTATCAAAACACTACAAACAAATGTGAAGGCTCACTTCTATATTCCCAATAGATGAAATATCTATTTTCTAAATGTCCATTGAGAATGAATTAAGGCATGGGAGCTCTTGCCAACAATACATAAAGAATCCATGCTAATTTTACACAATTATCAAAATGTAGTTATCTGGCAATTGCAAATTAAGAAAAAGCTTGTTATTAAAATTAAATAATTTTACATGCATTGATAATCTATAGGACCACATAATTATATTGAAACTGCCTCGGAAAAACATATAACATGAGCAGCAATGGTGTAACTAATTCTGGTGACTTCCCATCTGGTAACACAATGTATCCCTTCCCTCATCAAATGACTACAAATAAACTAAAGACTATAGATAATATTGTTACATTCCCCCTCCCCATTTTTCTGAAATGTGTCTCCCTGTGCTTGAAGAAATGTATAATAAATTAAAAAAATAAATAAAAATAACTGGGAAAAGCAGTTCCTCAGTAAAAAGTAAGCAATTATTTTTTTTCTGTATCAACTACAAGGTTGGTGTCACTCTGATATTTACATTTTTAATGCCAGAAACCATGGAAAGAGTGCAAAAGTACATAAAGGGTAATATAAGTCATAAAGGTATGGGTGCGGGAGGGTAGGATTTTTCTCTATAAACTATATAGTTGAAATAAAAGTCGAAAGCGGTTTGAAACTGTTTATCCGAGGGCCATGAAACTTTGTAAAGTTGATGAGAATACTCATGGGAAGGTTTCTGTGAAAAATAAATTTTCAATTTCGCACGGGCGGCACCCAAGCTGGGTGCGATTTGACACCCCGAACGTTTGTGAGCACTATGGCGCCTACGTTTGTTTTATACAGTATGACAAACTAAGGATAAGATAGGGTGTTATGGTCGTTCACTAAATTGAATCAAGCGTGTCCGCAAGCTTCCCGTGAGAGTGCTATTAGGCATCCCGGGCTATCCTGTGAGTGCTATGGCAATTTCATTAGTTTTAAGCAGAGGGATAGAATATAGATAAAATGGGGCATTATAATCATTCAATAAATTAAATCAGGTGCGTTCTCTGGTACCCCAACAGGATGCAATTTGGCGCCACAGGCTATCTGGTGAGCGCTATTGGGCCTACGTTCATTTTTAACAGTGCAAAAGACTATGCATATAATCAGGTATTAGAGTCGTTCACTAAACATAAACAGGCGCTTCCCCCGGTGGCTCAGCAGAGTGCCATTTGGCACTCTGGACTATTACTTGAGCACTATGGCCTCTTCGTTCATTTTAAAAAGTGTAATAGACTATGGATAAAACTGGGAGTTATAGTTGCACACTAAACATTATCAGGCGTGACCACAGGCGCCCCGGTATTTTGTGCCCTGGGTTATCCAGTGGGCACTATGCCGCCTACGTTAGTTTTAAGAAGCACACTATAATATTGACATGGTGGCACACAACATTAATTGATTAATCCAAGCAAGGGCAGTACGTGGCTCCCAAGAGCGCATAGCCACTTTACTGACACCTGGGCCATCACCGAAGTGTGTTCTAACTTACTATTACTGAGAGTGATTAACATACACTCAAGGCTTTCATACACAACACCCTAGGGTGTGCTGGGCAGTAATGTGAATAAACCTGTGCCCTGACAAATATGATCCAAGAAACGTTGCGCAAGCATTATTTACATTCAAATAATTATGTTTTTAGAAAACAAAGTCATGCGTCTAAATATATATGTTTGGTAACTAAAGCAATTCTTCTGAGACAGCCACAACGCTTGGAATGATGGGCACTATAAGACTATCTTAAGTTAATAATTAACTTAATAGCCTACTAATAATAGTTACTCTAGTCTCATAACGCGAGTTGAATTACCTCCCCTGACCCGCTTTTTTATGGCCACTTTCTAGTTCGTTTTTTTCGATCGCGTCTCGGCACTGTTGCTAAAAATAGCATTCGCGCAATACCATACGGATAAATCTGTTTGGCGTCTGCTACACGAGATAGATCGTTGAATGGCCGACAAGCTGATATAAAAATTATTGCGACCGGATGCGATTTTCGTGGAAATTGAGCTAGATTTAGCAAAAGACAGCTATATTTGTGTAAAATTTTATTATTTATACTTCTACTTACACAGATATTTTGATAACTGCAGTTCAGCCGTCCATTTTTCTTTTAAAATGTATCTTTAGAATTTCTGTACCTTTTGGCAATCGGTCAGGAGCATTTGCGCACTAAACCCACCCCCCCTACGGCAGATCCGATTTTTTCCCAGTGAACTCGTACTGACCTCCCACATAGCTAAGATAGTACATTGATACTGATGGGAAAGCCTCTAAATCTGTATTCCTACTAGAGATCTAGAAATAAATCTAGATCGTGGAGTTTTTATAATGACTTTTAAATTGAATGTCTCCAGTTTAAGATATTTTTTTTTCAAAACATAGCTACTTTTAGTACTATTTCAAACCCTTTTGGTAGTTTTTTCTTAAACTTAGACCTAGATCTAGTGATTAGATATCTATATTTTGTACTTATAACTTGCAGGCCTATTAAAATAATAATAAAACAGTTTGCTTGATAACTTCATTAGGTCATTTCATAAACACAAATGTTATAAACATATAAAAATCACAAAACCATAGGTAATATCTGAATTATGTAGCCTACCTTACATTTAGGCTAATACTGAATTAAAAAGAAATTACATTAAGGTTTGAAATTAATACAACTTGTAATTAAGAAAGAAAGCTTCAATTCTAAATACTACAAGATATAATAACAAACAATGAAACAAATTCAAAGCTTTTTTCAACCCATTTAGTCGAAAAGATTTTTATTTTTTCCGATATTGACCAAAATAAGTTTTTAAAGATTAGGCCTACTGTTTTTACAAACATAACTCAATTCTATTAGGCCCCTGTAAACATTAAGATTCCTCTGTAGACAAAGCAATCTATTTGGCAGATGAAGTAGAGTTCATGTTTCTTGACCTCGGCATATGAAGTGATTGTCCGTGTGGTCAGCGATATTCACAGCCGCCTTTACTTTTTACCTTTAATTTCCCCAATGTATATCAGGTACCCATCAGAAATGGGTGGACTCTAATTGAATTTTATTAAACAAACATTTTGATATAGGCCTAGATCTATAATCTATAACATTCCAAACAACATCTGTTCTGTAGAATTTACCTTTCTGCTTCCAAATGCGGTATTTTCCAATTGAAAATTCATCACAAAACATACAATAAATAATATAAATGGCATTTTATAAATTTATATAAACTATTTACTTTCACCTTGGTGTAACAAAATGTAGGTATAAGCAAACTGATTTCAATAGTAAGAAAGAATCATGTCTTTTCTTGCTTACTAGTACACAATACTAGCTTTAAAACAAGTGAATTTGACTTTTTACCTGCGTTTTTGGTCGCGTTTCTATATATTTTATTTGCGACACTAAAAAAATTATATTTAATCAACCGATTATGCTAAATTAATAAAATTGGTACTGTTGGATTGCATTTTTAAAGCTCTACAATTATATGCTATTCTTTTTATAATTTGAAGAAAATTGAATTTTTATGAGACTAACTACTTACTTAACCTTATAGTTTTATAACTTAGATAATAATAGAATATAAAGACATTTAATAATACTATACTATAATACTAGATTTAAAACTAGATCTGAGATCTAGATCTACTGTCCAAGTTACTCAACTCAACTGCTTGTACGTAGATCTATTTATATTTATTCTTTATTTAATGTATTGAATTGTATTGTACTAATGTAGATCTAGATCTACTTTAACTTGTTTGTACTCAGTACTGAACGGTTGTAGATCTAGATCTAGATTCTAGATCGTTACTATTAGTCATGAGAAGCTAGATCTAGATTTCGATCTAACACTACTTACTACTAAGAGTTATTTTAGCACTAGCCTGACTCGCTGAGGGTGTGCTGCTGTAATATTAATAACAAACATCGATTTTTATTTGTTTCGCAATCGATATATGAATTCTAGCAGAATATAAACATGCCAGATTTTTTAAAGACAGGTCATATATCTTGAAAGAAATTGTTAAGCATGCAGCATAGGGCATATATTTAGAATCTAGATATGCCTATAATAACTCATTTTGGCAAGCTCGTTTTTAATTTCCTTGTGAAAAATATATTAAGTTAGGCCTACACAGTTGCTTTTTTTAAAAACAATCTCTCCGAAATCAAATTAAAAACGATATCACAAAAATGTTACACACCATACATACATAAACTGACACACACAAAATAACCTCAATTCCAGAAAAATCAACATGAATTTCATTAGGCCCCATTTTATACCAAAAAATTATTCGTGACATTTTTCTACATAAGTAACGTCATTTATGGATGACTTTATAACAGTAAAAACATCAATAGTCATATAGAATCTTGTTTGTTTTGATTTTTTTTTTACTTAGTAGATTAGTAGATTCTATAATACATAGAAAATTTTAATATTATTAAGTAAATTCAATCTGGCAAACTTTCATAAAGTATGATTATTTCTTCTTTTTGGAAGTTTACTTTTACTTTAAACATTGGTACATTTTATATGAAATGTCATAAAACTAAAAGTAAGGTTTTTATCGCTGTTACTTGAAATCTAACTAGATCTAGATCTAGATATAGTTCTAGAATCTAGATTTCTATAGATCTAGATCTAGAATGTCCATATAATTATTAAGTAGTCTGCTAACCTGGATCTAACTTAGATCTAGTAATCTAGATTTGATTTAGACATTTTGGTAATCTATCGTTTTGGGTGTTTTGGGTACGTAAAATCGCCCGCGACTTGTAGGTCGCGACTTGTAATGTGAAAACCAGGTTACTCCTTAAATTTTAATAATTCTTTCACATTTTGAGGAGGATTTATGTTTTAAAAAATACAAAAATGTTTCCTTGTTTCATTTATGTACCTGTTTTTATTCAATTGAATTAAAACTTTTCAGTAATAAATGAACACCAGCGATTTTTCCAACAGATGCAACCATGCTCATTTACTATAGCAGCCATCTTGTTAAAGTTTTATTTTTATAGACATATAGCGCGAGATTCAGGCGGAAGTCACTCTATTTTACAAATGGCTGCTGTTTATATAGCAAATCTTGCTTGCAGACACTGTTGTTTAAAGTTAATTTCTGGCCTATATTTAGTATATTGATATATTTAGCCATTGATCATTTAGGTTTATTATTCATTTATCTATAATATTTGACACAAACATATCACAATATACTCCTATTACAGCCTTGATAATGAGGTAACGTTTTCGTACATTAATAGCCGCGGGCGATTTTACGTACCCAAAACGATAGATTACCGAGATCTAGATTATTCTTGATCTAAACTACTAACTAAACTCGTAAAGTCGTAAACTGATATCACTGATATGATATAATTTAATTTAATATATAATCTAAAAGAACAGGAATTATATTAATTATTATTAATTAAGCATTGTGTGGCCATTTAATAACAGATGTCTTTTAAAAATGTTTTCTATTAAATCAATTTACTTTTATGATTTAACTTTTGAACTATGTGTATCATATTTAAACAATATTAAAGTTTAAAATCTCAGTCAACACCCTAAATTAAAATTAGTTTGCAATTGTTACGTTTTAATTAACACTCCCTGTGTTTATTATTAAAAAGTATTAGTAGGCCTGTAGAGTCTAAAGTCTAAAGAGACTAAGCTTTTTTACTTTTCAAAAAGACCTTCTTACTATTTCAGATGTTACAATATACTGATTTGTAAAATTATTAAGATATTTAAAATAATGGAAGAACATCAGCAACAAGAAGAATGTAATTCAACATTTCAAGAGGAAGATACTGAATCACAAGCTAATAACCAGATAGATGATGAATTTTATATACATCAAAATAAGAAAGGAGAGGTAACCTTTGGATTGAAACACACATCTTCCTATACTTATTCTAAATCTGATGTGCCTTTAAATGAAGCATGGGATGAAGTAAATTTCACAGATTCCACAGCTAATGAGACACAGGAATTAAGTTCTGAATTTCATGATAAAAAAACCTCAGATGAGACAAGTGAGTCGGTTACCTTTGCTAGTGAAAATGAATTATTTGAAGCAAGTAACAAAATATCTTTGCAGAGCAGCAGTGATGTATCCGATCATGGAATAAGTGATAAATCATACAGTAATTTAATTAATAAACTCATTCCTGCCACTATTTTGGATACTAATAAAAAAGTTGAAAATACTGATGAGTTATTATTAAAAATTACTGATGAAAAAGATTCAGATTTATTACTCAAAGCTATTGAGAATAAACAAGTAAATTTAAATAATGAAATGACTCTGCCATTGCAATCTTTGGAGATACCAAGTAACCCGGAACAAGAAAGTAGAGAGTCTGGTTGGCATAAAGAATTTACAGTTGTTCCAGTTGACGAAAGGAAGCTTATGCAAGTGGACAACAAGCCAACAGATGACAATGTCTTCAGAACACAGTCCTCAACTGACTTGTGTGCATTAAATAAAGACCAGCTGAACACAAACACTGAAGTTACTTCTCATAGTAATGAAGTTTTTAATCAAGACACCATCGGCCCACTTGACAATAATCAAGACACCATTGGTCCACTTGACAACCCTGCATTTCTGAGAACTTTACATTACTCTGAAAGGTAGAAACTTTTTAAAACTAACTAAATACAAAAATTTTAAATTCAGTTTTTAGTTTTAAACCCCACATAAATATTTAATAATTAATTTGAACTCTTTTTGGAACTTTAGTTTAAAAGCTTCCTTACTATTATTACTATATTTACATTTAGATTTTTTTGTCAACAGCCAGTATCTGAGCAATAATTTACAACTACTTTATCAAGAAGAGAACTTGAAAAACTCTACAGAAGATTTGAGGAGCCTAACCAAATTCCAAGAAATCCCTGACCTAGATCAAGGCTGGGCTTGGGTTGTTCTTGCTGCAGCTTTTTGGGCTTCCACTCTGCTTGGTGCAACTGTGTATGCTGCTGGTAAGACAAGTAAAATAGTTAAATGTGCTGGTATGGCCAAGTAAAATAGTTAATTTTTAACTAGAGCCCTTAGTTTAATTATAAACTACCATTGCATTTTCTTTTTTATTTTGTGTTGGTAAAATTTTAATTAAATGTGGAAATGAAAATATTAAAATCCAAATTTCCACCAGGTTTTTAAAATCATTTCAATGTAGTTTTTGAACAAGCCGTATTTAACCTCAGCTTTATAGGCCAACACCTTTTTTTTTAAAAACTGTAAATAACTAACTACAAGTATCAATGTTTTGTAGGTGTTCTTATGTCAGCCATAATGGAAGAAATCAACCCTGATTTGACCAAAGTTGCCTGGGTTGGATCTGTCAATGTATTTGTTATGTACCTGACCGGTAGGGAAAAATATTAAATTTTTTTGCTGTTACCACTTTTTTTTTTGAGCATTCAAATCAAATGATACATTAGAGCTGTGTAAAAAGAAGTAGTAAATGTTAGCTGTAAGCACATCAATGATAAGTTTTAAATCAAACAAATCAACAGTAATTACCTCTTTGTCTAGATTATCTTTTGATCTGTAGGGCACAATTATTATTTATTGATGTGCTTTTTAAAATTAAAGAATTTATCCTAAACCGATTCTGTCTTGTGTGAAAATAAAAAAAAAACACAAAGAAGAGCAGTGTGAACTAATTGTCATCTTTTTTTTTTTCCTATTAGGGCCTTTTGTTGGGTTCACAGTGAAGAAGTATGGTGCAAGATTAACTGTATCCATTGCTGGCATTGTTGTAGCATTAGGATTTCTGGGGGCTTCATTCTCTCACTCCATTGGTGAACTCATCCTAACCCATGGTGTTATTGCAGGTCTGTTAATAGCTTCATGTATTTTAACTACATATTCTCGCACTAATCAGACTTGACTCACTTCATGCATGATATATTTACATATAGTAAAAACACATATTTTGTTAATGGATATGTATACAGGCTTAGGTGCTGGGTACTCTGTGAATCCTATGGTGGTTGTTGTGGGTCAGTACTTTGACAAATATAGAGGATTGGCATGTGGATTGTTGGCTTGTGGAGCTGGTATTGGTCTTTTAACAGGTATTCTCTTTTTGTCCTACCTTTGTATTGAAGTATTTTATGTTCAGTTATTGAGTTTATAATGAAAAAACCTGTTTATTAGTTACTTAAACATTTCAAATGTTTAAACTTGACCCACCTCTGTATTGAAGTTATTTAATGTTAAATTATTTTAAAAAAATCTGTTTATTGAATTTATAATGAAAATAAATTTAAAAACCTGTTTATTAGTAACTTACAAATATCAAATATTTAAACTTTATTTATTCCCACAGGGGGCACTTGTGTCTCTTTACTGTTGGAAACATATGGACTGAGTGGTACATATTTAATTTGGGCTGGCCTAATGTTGAACATCACCCCAGCAGGTATGTTAATTCGTCCATCACCAGAAGAAAGGCTGAGGAAAACGGAAGTGCCTAACACGCGTGGCGCCGCAGTTGATGAAGTGGTCAGCAGCCGCAACAGCATGACCAGTGGCTTGAATAGTCCGTTTGGGAGTAGGAACCACAGCATCATCAGCGGAATGGACAAAGTTGGCTACTACAAAAAGCCTGCGTCCCGGGCAGGTTTGAAGTTTACCAACTTGGATGCAGAAACCCCTTTGATTAAAACAGCTCTGCAGAATCAGATGTCCCAATCATGCCAGTCATTTGCCACGAATAGGCAGCTTCCTTTAATCTCTGTTACAAGTCTATTCCAGCAGGGAAGATATGTCGTCAAGTCCAGCAACTCTGAAATGCACCCACTTCCCTTCAGTCCCTCTGAGACACAAGCCACCCAGGGCCCACTTTCATCACAAAATGCTATCCCCAATCACTTCAACTGCCGCCGTGTCTCAGCAACCACCCTGGCCACCTCCACCTACATGCCTAACACCCTCCATGCCTCCCCCACCAGCATGAGGGTGCCCCACCAGAGGGCCAGCTGTAACTTCCCCAGTACCAGCCGTACGGTGTCTCTACGTGGAAGTCTTCACCCAGACAATGATTCCATCAGTTCTGCTCTCATCTCCAAACTGAGGCCTCGGGATGGTTTGGCTCCCAGGCACCCCCTAGGGTCAAGAAGTATATCAACATTTATGGGGAGCATTGCAAGTTTCCCCACAGCTTTAGCCATGGTCACTGATGATGTATCCAGATATGAAACCTGCAGTATATCAGGCTCAAATACTGTGGTAAACAGAACTTTTGTATTCTTTATAATCTTTTTAATATAATCTAAGTATATATAACATAATCTAAGTCAAGCTAATCTGTCGACATTAACGTCAACTTCTACTCTAGTCAACAGATCATCCTTATGATGTTAGCATTACAGCTAAAACTATATTTGAGCTATGGGACTGTTACATTACTCAAGTGATGGGGCCTTCCGTTGATGGGTACCCAGTTTTTAAGTAGAAGAAAGTAAAGGTGGCTGGCCAGTGCTGACCACACTATTGGTTCATTTGCCTCATGGATCACTTATCAGCCTCACTGATCATCAGCCCTTCCTGTCTTAAAAGGTCACCTCCTGTCCAAAAATATATACTTCATCTAATTTTTGGGATAAAATATTGTGATAAGCTGGATTTTGTATTGTACATTTCCTATATCTATTTCTTCTTTTTATTCAGTCTTGACTAAGGTTTTTTGTTTTGTTTCAGACTGTTAAAAGCTACCTGACCAGGCTAATCGAGTGCTTTCATATTCTACAAAACAGGCAGTTTTTGGCTTTTATAGGGACATGTTTTGTGTGGGCTTTTGGAGAATCTCCTGTCATTGTTTACCTGCCTTCATATGCTATAAGGTGCAGTGGTTTTTTTTCTTCTGATAGCATTTTAATGTTAGTCTTAAAGCTTGAACTTTTAACAAAGTAAAATAGTTAAAGAGCTAAAAAATAGTTGGCTTTATTTAAAAGTTGATCAGAAATGTGGTACAGAGTGACCATAATTCACATTAAAATTCTGCTACAATATTCTTCAGGTCACAATTTTATGATTGCTTTTTTTTTTGTTGTCAGTCGAGGAACAAATCCCATGCAGGCTTCTTCCCTGTACACTGCCATGGGAACAGGATCAATCATGGGGAGATTTCTGTCTGGTCTACTAGCATCAAACAATGAAGTTGCACCTTTGCTTCTACACATAGGTGAGAACTTACTTTAGCTGAATTATCTCTCAGTTGAACTAGTTCAGCTTTTGTCAGAGAAATGTTCCTCTGATTTGGTTTCTACCCAGCTAACCTTGTGTACCTGTGTCCTTTCTTGAGGGACTTGTGCAATATATCAGATAGCAATGCAATTAAAACAGGACTTGATTTTATAAGAGCCCTTCAGAATAGTCATAAGTGGACAGGTGACATTTTAAATGTGAAAAATAAAATGTTTTGAATGTTCATTTTTTTTTTCATAAATAATTTTTTTTTTAAAAGGAATTTTTTTATATCAGGCAAAATTTGTTCTTTGTTTCTTTTTTTTTAAAATTTGAACGACTTTTAATTTGAATGATTGTTGTGTAGGTTGTTTGGGAATCACTGGCGTGATTGTTGTAGTAAGTCCTCTGATCACCTCCACCTATCCTGGACAAATGGTCTTCTCCTGGCTTCTGGGACTCTACACTAGGTCTATGGTGCCACTGACTTCTCTGGTCATCATTGAGATGCTTGGGATCAAAGAGTTAGGACAAGGGTTCGGCTTCCTCAGCATGACTCAAGGGCTAGGCTACCTTATTGGTCCACCCTTAGCCAGTAAGTTTTTAAATGTTCCTGTTTAGATAGCTTCCCTTTACCAGTAAGTTTTTAATGTTCCTGTTTAGATAGTTTCCCTTTGCCAGTCTTTCTTTTAGACATTTATTCTAAAGAAAAAGTAACTCAAATAACCATAACATGCATAATGCTTTCTATTTTTACACATTCACTTCAGCACTTTTTAACCAATGATAATGAAATTATTTATATTGACTTATTTCATGTTACATTATAATTCATCAATTCACATATTATTTTCTATTTTATTTTTAGGTATGATAGTTTGTGCTATTGGTTACCAAAATTGTTATGTCTTTTCAGGTAAATTAGTTTTAAAGCTTAATTTTCTTGGTATTAAACTAAAAATGTACTCATGTTTATACAATTTCAGCAAATCTGTTGTATTTTTTATTTATTTTTGAATATGTGGTCATAAATTGTATTATAAATGACTAACGATTAAATTGTCACCCTTACAATCTTTTGCTTGATTAGGTTGTGTTTTGTTGCTGGCCAGTTTTTTCACCCTCTCAATTATTGTTCTGATGCACTCTAATGAGGAAGATAAGTACATGGATCTTCAGTCTGTGCATGAAATGGACAATGACTTTCATAAGCTGACCAACAGCACAGTAGATGAGATGGCAAATGGTCTGGGGGATAGACCAATATGCGGAGAACCCTGTAAACCTGACTGTGCTGTGATTAACCCAGTCTTTCCCCTGCAAGGTGACCATGCCATGGAACATAAACAAGGCCTGCAGGACGAGAACACGCCCGAAACAAAAAAAAATTTAGAGGAGGAAAAACTCGGTACCATCTTAGAAGTGGTGTGAAAGTAAATATTTGTGAAATGACATGTAGTTAATTGTGTGTCATTCTTAAAATTTAGTACTACGGGAGGTTAAAAACTTGAAGGCTTGTATATCAGTATTCTTTTACACATCTTTTTTATAATATAAAACATTTTCCATCATGTAGTGGGCATTATTTTTTATAACATTTTATGTTAATTGTATATAATATCAAATCTTCATTGTTTGTTAATTTAGAATAAAAATGTATGTGAGATTTACTTGCACATCATAAAGTATAATTTTTAACTTAATTATTACAGCAGACTATATTTATACATCAACTGGCAAATAAATTTATCAACTTTAATATTTTTTGGCTTAATATTTTGATTGTGTAGTTTTGTCATCTATTTGTTGTAAACCTTTAAACTCATTTCATATTATCAGGGGTTAAATCAAACTAAAATCACATATAAATTAAACAAACACAAAGATAAAAACCATAATTTTATTGCTTAAATCTTCAAACCGTGCATTCAAATGTAGTGCAGACTCCTGAGATAACTTCTTGATAGGCAGTTTAAATATTTTAAATTTAACATGTTCATCATATGAGTCAGTGTTTGTGGTATGGAAAGAAACATGTCTGGATTATTTAATACCAACAACAGCTCCATTTAAAATTTAAATATTACTGCTAATGAGAATCTTAAATGATATTAATGAATATTTAATGTTTTCTTTACAAAGGTCAAGAATTAAAAACAAAATAACTTTTTTACCCCTTATACTTGACCTAAAACTAATTTATATTCCATTGTTAGTTGAGTTTCCAAGCAGCAATTTCTATGATTGGATGTTAAAAGTTACTGCATCTACAAAATCATACTTAACAGCATACTCTACTTATTATTTTTATTTCACTAAAGCTTGTAGCCATTTTAATTACATCAACATATTTTGATATTTAAATGCTGGGGGGGGGGGGGGGGGGGGGAAGAGACATACTTTTAGCAAATTTTTTATCTTCGTCTTCAGAAAACTGAATAAGAGTATTTTAGACAACAACTTTATGAAATTACAAGTTTTTTAGATGTCAAAAATTTGTTCGAGATCAATTTTAAACAAAATTATTTTTTTGAAAAATACAAAATACTCATCTTTCCAATTATAGTATAATTGGAACAAATGTACATATTAGAAACTCAAGAAGTTGGTTATCAGTTTGTATAAAAATACTCTTACATTATGTAAAAACAAAAGCTTCATAATAACTGGTTTTATGGTTGCTAATATGGACAAATATTGATTTTTAATTAATTTTGCTGCAAAAAAAATTTGTAAAGACTTTACTACAATTAAAAGCAAAGATTTAACAGAAAATTGAATATGAAACTAATTTTTATCTTTAGGTGGGTTTTAATTGACAAAAAAAAACTGTTACTGTTGCTTTTTAAGGTTTATGTATTTTTAAAATTCTTTAAAAAAAATGTTTTCTATATTAAATGCTCATTTTAAGGTGAAAACATAATTATTAATAAAATCAATCAGAAAATTAATAAAAGTTTAGTGATGCCACTAATTAACAATAAAAATACTGAGACAAGTGTTTCTCATTTTTGTGAAAGTCTTTGTTTTAGAAATGACTAAAAAATTGGAAGTTGTTTATTTGACAATCCTTTCTAAAACTCAATGTTCTTAAAAACATATTTATCTTTTAGCTGTAATAACATTTACATAGTTTAATAAATTACTACTGCTGCTGGGTTTTAAAGAAGAAACACAAAACTTGAAGACAAAGATTACTATAGGAAACACAGGAAAATGTCAGTGTTAACACATTTTGCTGTCTTTTTGCAAATAAATAACGAACTGTTTTTTTAATAGTGTAAAAAACAGTTTGTTAATTTTGGTAAAAAAGAACTCTACGATAAACAAGTAAAATTTCAGTAAGTATTGCTGTAAGTGCTTAAAAAGTAAATGAAAACAAAGATCACAAATATTTTACAATCTTAACTCTATGAAATTAGCATTAAATATAAATTTACACAAACACATAATGAAACATTAATTATTTCATTAATATACCCCAAACAGGTTATCATTTAATTGATAACTAAAATAGCAACATTTATTTGTGAAAACACATATCTACAGATATAAAAATATCAAAATTTGTTGAGAAAATAGGTAACCAAAAGTTATTATTACATAAATGTCTAAAAATAATATGTAAGCAATAGTTTCAGATAGCACACACAAACAGCCATAATTTTTTTTAGCTTTAATTATTTGAAATTACATAAATATAAGTTTTTAAAGAAAATTTGGTTGAAATATTTCAGCGTTTTAAAAAAAATTGTCGTATTGTATTGCATTAGAAAAAAATAAATCCACACAAAAATATTATGAGAATGGAATGTTGTAAAGTAACATCAATATTATGCAGTGGTAGTTAACATTTGGCCTTCATAAAAACCAGGCTTGTGGACTGGCCATAAATAGCATAACTTCTATGAAAACACAAGAAACATGGGATTCCCAGAGATCATCTAAACACAAAGTGGTAACATGTGTTCTTATTCTCCAGCCCATTGAGCTTGCGAGAAATCCCTCTGGGGTCCAATGTGGCAGATTTTTTTACCAAATATTTCTTGCGTTCAAACAGAAATTTTTAAAATACTACATTTCCGCCCAAATGTTGGTACTCGCAATGAACAAACTATTTAAAAAAATAGATTTGTGGTATAAAATGTAATAACAGCAGTTGATATTGAGTTAAAGCAAAGCAGATAATGCACACTAAATTCAATCTTTCCCTTTTTTAAACCAAATGGCTTTACAATTTTAAAAACAAAATTGGCAAACAATACACCCATAGTAATTAACAGAATAATTAAACAAAATGGGTAACGAAATCAATTGGTTAAATTTGAATATTCAAACAAAAGCAAAATAAAATAAAAAAACGGTTTATTCTTGAGTAATATCTTTTGGCTATTAACAAATAATTTCTAAAACCATTTCATCGTTTGTATTACTTTAGATGTCGCTTGAAATTGTCAGCATAATTTATTCAAATTATATCAGGTAGTCAGTATTTCATATTAATAATTCCATTCTAATCTTGTAAATAAAAATTGCTTCATTATGTAAAAGTACAGAATATAAACCATTAATAACATTTTTTAAAAAAGCTATATCCAGTCAACCATTTTAATTTTAAACAATCAAACAAAACTTTAGAAAATTCATAGAAAACTAAATTTAGCTAAGTTAGTAATCTCAAGATATTAATTAAAAGAAATACTAGTTTTACAAAATTGTAAATCAAAACATCCCAAAATTGTATACAGTATCATTTTAGAACAATTTAATATTTATGGACATTATGAAAGCTCATAAAAAATTGCTGGTCTGTGGATACCAAAATAGAGGTGGAAAACAGGCACTATAAAGGAAATGCCAGCACCTACTAAACAATAGGTGGTGAATTTATAAGCTATCATTACTGACGGGAATGTTTTGTCAGGCTTGTCAAGCCCAAATATATAAGAGAAAAACCTGATGGACAACCATCTAGTGACAAGGTAAATTAAGGCAAGAACAGCACCACCAGTTACAAACCTAACCAAGGCCATCCAAAACCACATTAAAGTTGGCATTTCTATTATGTACGGTCCCAGTACTTCAGGTGCTTGGGTTAGCCCAAGCTGGTAACTAAACCACTGGCCAATCCCCACACCAGTCAATGAGGCGACAATTTGTATGGCGTCACCCTTGGATGAGTTCTTGTAGTTGCTTGGGTAGCAGACGGTGCACAGAGCCAGTGACATCAACAGCATAACAGGGGCAGCAGATATGTTGGTCTGTTGGTACATGTCAAATGCTTCCACATACTTAGTAAATGAGCACACAATTAAAACTGCATAGATAAATCCTACAAGAAGATCCTGAAAATAAAAAAGTTTATTTCAATACAAAAGAACAAATAATTATTTTTACATAAATTTTAGCCCAATGTAGAAGTGAATTTTGAAATATATTCTCTAATACTTGATATTTAAAAGTAATTATAAATTTTAAAAATATCCACATTGCATTATTTAATATTTAAATAGCTATAGATCAAGTATTATTAACAAAATAGAATGCTATTTATTTTAAAACAAGGGGTTTTATGAAATAAACTTATGAATCAGTTATCATTTATATTGGGATCAAATGAAACAGTTAAGCTTACCAAGATTGTATGAACACCTAGGTACAGTCTGCTCAAACAAGTTATAGTAAACCATAAGACAGCAATAATAGCGGGAATCAGGAACGGAACCTTTAAAAAAATTAAACAAAATTTCAATTAATAGCACACTTAAATTATTGATAAATGTTTCTCAGTTAGTCTAAGTGGTTATTAACATTTACAAGATGACCCAATTTCCTTATGATAAACCATCTCCTCCACTAAATTCAGCTCACCCCTATTCCACCCCCTCATCAAAATACTCCTGACTACCTACTATGTAAAATAACTTATACTGTTAACATTATTCCTAGTTAATATTCCACTAAGTTTTTAAATTAACAGAAGGAAATGATACGCATATTATTCATGTAGGAAACTAATAATTCCCAAATTACTATGCTACACTACATAACCTATTCAACCATACTGGACAATCTGTAATCAGCACTTTAAGCACTTTTGAAAAGACTCCTAGTTTGCGTTTGAGGTGATCTCTATCAGTTAACTATTTCTTTAAATTTCAATTTAGAAGTTTTGTTCTATCCCAATAAAAAAATTGATAATGTTGTAAACTAATAAAAATAATGAATAAACATACAATTAAAGTTCTAGTTGAAAGAAAGTAAAGCATTATAACACTGTATTGCAGATATTCTTATCTCAAAGAGTTGGAATATTAAATATACCTCTTATGATAAATATTCAAATAGGAAAGCTAGTGAGTTGTAGTAGGTTACTATATGGATTATAACAGGTGATTACAAATTTAAGATTTTTTTAATATGCATATTTTAGTACAAAAAACATGAGAAACTTTTACCCCCCCCCCCCCCCCCCCCCCTCAATATACAAAAAGTATGAAATTATTTTAAGAAATGCAAATAGTAAATAAGGAAGTATTCTCCACACTTAACGTGTTAGTAAAGAATTACGTGCATTAAAATTAAAGAAAAACATAGAATACGGAGGGGGGAAGGGGATTAAAATAGTTCACATGGTTATTATAAATGTATCAAGTTCTGTGAGAGCTTATTAAAAAAAAAACCTTTGATGGTATGAAGCTGATAGAAAAAGTGTGTTACCCAATCAATACAAGCTGAATGGTATCAGGAATAATGGCTAGCAACTTAACTTTGTCAAGAAATTGATTAGGATTAATTTATGCAAGACATGTTTAAAGCAGCTAAAACATGTTTCTATAAGGCTGCATAAAAATAGTGTAAAACAGCCCCATGTGTCTATGTATCTTTTTTTAATTGAAAAAAAAAATGTGTTTATGTGAATCAAAGAAAGATAGTGTTAGTAGTGTTATCATGTCTCACAGTGCAAATAGATTGTGTACACACGTTCTTATCTTATTGTAATGCTGATAAATTAACAGTGCACCTAGAAATTGGCCAAGTTCACAATGCTAAGCAGTGGGTGTTTACAGTTTAAAAATTTCAATCAACCTTGTAGATAGGTATGAAAACAAGGTTGAATGAAAACATGATTCAGTGAATGAAAAACAATTAAAGGGTTATATGATGATATGCACTGTTTTAGTTAATTTAAAATGAAATGTTTCACTTTCTTTGTGCCTTACATATATAAAAACTTAAGGACCTTATTCACATAATGTGCTAAAAATTTGGACTAAAAAGATATTCAGAAATTAACTGATATGTTACATCATCGCCAATCAGGCCACCTGGCAAACCAATCGTATTTTGAAACTAGTGTGATATTATATAAATTTAGTAACTGACTATTTTGACCTCAGAAAATGTCATACCTTAGTACATGATACAGTTAAAAAAAAAAAAGACCACTTAAAAGAATACATTAATCTCAATTGATAAAATGAAAAATAATGTAATAGGCTATAGATATGAACACAAGCTATTTCAAGATTTTAAAACAATATGGATCCCATGAGTCAGAAAATGATTTAAGTGAGTCAACTTTGTATACATATATATCTATGTTAGGATTATGATGCTATTTCTACAGGATCAATTAGGTTCCCAGGGTCTACAAACTACTTTAATGGGTCCTAGTTAGGGGTCTTTACAAAATATAAGTTCCAGGGGTCATAGAAACATTGTTACATTTAATGCAGTACAACAGAAAGTGGTCAATCATTATGTAATCAGGCATTATTTTCAAATGCATCACAAAGCCTACATTTACAATAGACTTAATTAAGCTCTTTAAGGATAAAACCTCAAATAAAAGGGATCACAAATGTTAAAAAGAGTTAAAACTCTTAAAACTCCATGTGAACTGGTAATAGCTTTATAGACTTGGAAATACCATCAACATGTTAACTGACATGACTAGCACAAACCTGGTATCTCTCCATGACCATATACACAAGATAAACAGGTATGGCTGTGCCGGCCATGGCGTGAGTAGATGGCATGGAATACTCCTGCAGGTAGTGAGTCTCCAGCCTCACAACAGGGGGACATGGGGGTCTAGGCCAGCGAAGATAGTCCTTGGTAGCCTGACCTAGATACATGACTACACACCACAACCAGGCAACCTAAAAAAAATGTAGGTAAAAATTTACAATTCAAATTGTAGGTTTACATTATGTGTAATTATATTCTTTATGGTTAATTAATATATCCTGAACCACTTGTTTAAATAAATATATATTTCGGGAAGGTTTTGTTTTTGCAATATTGTTATATATCGTAATACTCTTAATAACTTACTTTAAACTTAAAACATTAAGAGCGAACTGTATTTGCTTTGTGTGTAGCCTACTCTAGAAACTTTAACTTAAAGCCATTTTATATTTAATTTTTATAGGCTAATAGGCCTATGTAATGTTTTTTTTTTATTACCTGTCTGATCACGACACCATCCAAGTTCCAGAGACAAAAAGGAAAAAAGGTCAGGTAAAACTCCTCATTTCCGAGAAAAGCTCCAAAATGTGCTAAGTATAACAATGATTTGTACTTAATCTTCACTGGTGTTTTTACTGGCGGGGCTGAATCATCACTGGCAGCTGCAGAAATGTGACCATTCGCCTTGGGATTAACAGAGTGACCATTACAGTGGATAATCTCATTCTTGTCATATCCCTTTTTTAAACTGTTGCTTTTGTTGATGAGATTTTCCTCCAACTCTGAGACCCCATTACAGTTCGGGTGGTTGAATTTGTCTTGAATTTTACTACTGATATAATCATTGTTATTGTTTGCCATGTTCTTTCTTGTTCTGCATTCTGTGTTGCAGTGTTGTATGTCTTCCCACAGTTCGTCCCCCTGCTGTCGATGGCTGTCGTCTGTTGATGACTTCAATGTTTGTGTGTGTTGGTCACGAGTCTCGGGTTTCTCGGCGATGACCCCACACAGACGCTGAAATCTGGCAACATGCTTCGGGTCCGCTAAACTTTGAATATATTCCATGCTAGTTCATTAATCAAGAAATAAAACGCGATTGGAGCTATAACTATCCGCTCAGTTATCTGTCAGCTATGCGGAAATGAATTATTTATTTGCTTTAGTTAGTTACCCTGCTTTCTAATGTTTGAGAAGTCAGTAAGCAGATGTGTCACCGCATTTTGATCGCACCACTTCTTATGCAGATCTGTCTGATTTCGATCAATTTCAAACCAAACAATAATTGATCCTAATGTTCATTTCTTTAGGGGATAATCCAACGAAAATGTTTCAATGTAACAGTCCAACCCCGTCCAGTAAACTCGAAAATGTAAAGCTGAAGAGTGCCTCTCAAAATCTGTGTCATCTACCTGTAGTTGACACACCACAGGTCGCTGGGTGATGACGAAAGGTGTGCTCGGAATCGTACTTGCTATTTCGTGGAGTATTCGATTAGTCAAATGCACGCACACACTGAAGCAACTGGCTAAGGCTACACAGACTACACCGTAAAGAATTAAAATTATACAATATTTCAAAGTGCATTTTAACAATTCAAAACATTACATCTGGTTACTTTTAATATTAAACTTTAGTTTACTTTAATTAAAAAATTAAAATGCATCGAGTTAACATACACAAGATGTGCTACTAGTATTCATAAAAAAATTTAATATTTTTCATATTATAAAATTCGTCCATATTGTTATAGATCTAACTCCCAAAATGAAACAATTTAATGTTTGTTTTTTTTTTTTTTTTGGCTTTTTACAATTATACGTTTGTATCTCGAAATTAAAAATGTTAAATTTCTGCGATCTATAGTTAATAATATTAAAAAAAAAGTATCGATACAACCCAACAGTGTTTTAGGAGAGGCCATATAATGAATACATTTTTTAACGTAACCTTTTATATGTGTGTGCTTCATTCATAGCATATTTTTACTACATAAAACGAAGCTTTGACAAAATCTCTATTTTTAGTTGACTAGGCCTATCATATTATATCTCATACACGGCATCACACACCATAGGCCTGGGCAATAAAAGGGAAGGGTGAGAGGTTGTGGGTGTGGGGGTGGTGCTGACTTGAATGACGGTAGGCTAGGTGGTGGTGGGGGGGGGGTGTTAAGAATACCAACGTAAGCTATATAAAAATGGAATCGATAACTGTGTCAATTTTGCTAAAATTACTTTTTTAGGGAAGTGCGGCGGCTATGTGAAGCTATTTTAAGTGGAAACTGAGGTGAGGGGAAGCGGGAGGTTGGTTTATTTTGACTATATGAGTTGATAGGGGGCACATAATGAGTTATCGTTTATAGAGGATCCCATTGTTGTATACCCATAAGAGGATATAGTCTTTCATTGGGCGGGGGTAGCCTAGATAGATATAAATAATGTGTGTTGTGTGTTTGGCAGATCCTTGTTGGATCAACACATCAACATAGCCTTATGTGAGGACATATGACGATCAGCAAGGAGCAGAGGCGTAGCGAGAGGGGGGGGCGGGGGTATATATGTCCCCGGGCGCCGACCATAGGGGACGCCAAAATGGGTTAAAAAAAATTAAAAGCTCATTTCAGCTGCAGTTTTGCATTATAATTTTTTTTTTTTTAAATATATGGGGGAGGCGCCAAATAGAAAGTTTGTCCCGGGGGAGGGGGGGGGGGGGGCAAATTGAAAGTTTGTCCCGGGGGGGGGGGGGGGGGGCTAATTGAAAGTTTGTCCCCAGACGCCGGGAATGATCGCTAAGTCTCTGGCAGGGAGCGGGGTTAAAAGTCGCGTAATTTCATCTAAGGACTCACGTAAAACACAATGTTGATTAATTTGTTGGTAATGTAAACTGATTAGGACAAAGAATAGCCCATTGATGCCTATAAATGGCATGCTAATTAGAAAACACACATGGAAGTAGGTTACGTTTGTGATAGGTAAGATCATGGGAAGGAGCCCTGTCGTCGTTTGCAAAGTCAAGCCATTTTTTAAAGAGATAACAGAGCACGAAGATACATCTTTTTATTTTTTAATTTAGTCAGTATATTTAGCAGTCCTTTTTTTTTTAAACAGCAAAGCTGCTGTCATGCACTGTTGTGTTGATGCGGCCCCTAACGCTACCGGGAAAAGTACATTAGTTTCCTGAAGCCAGTATCTATATTGTATTGTCCTTAACAGAATTTTTTTTTGTTCCGCTCTTCTCCAAAAACCTATAGAATGGGTCTATTTCATATGACAGCCCATTATATTAGTTTTAATAACATAACAAAAAAAACATTTTTTTAAAATATGTCTGTTTAGGATAAACGATAGCATGGGCTGGCGTAAACATTTCCTTGTAGAAATGTAACCTTGGTTTGTGTGTTTTTATAAATACCACTATAACAGCTGGGTCAAATACCACTTTTCACCTCTAACAGACTTTCGACACTGCTTCCTTTGATGCACCGGGCAAGGCTGTTAAGTGCGCTGTGTGTTGCTGTTACACTTTAATTATAAAATTTTATCAACGGTTCTCTGGAGGAACGGCTCGTAGAGTGTAGTGTGTGTGTGGGGGGGGGGGGGGGGAGTAGGCCTCATTCAAGACTCCCCGCTTCAGTAATTTCTAATAATATTTTTCTTTTTTCAATCTACCACAACATCAAGATGGGTGGAGTGGAATGCTTCTTTAGAAAAATGTAACGAAAGAATGTCAAGGGCTTGATAGCATTATTTCAAGCGGAACCTCCGAGGTAAATAATCATTATGGTTAGAAGTGCTAACTGCGTGTGTGTGTGTGTGTGTGTGTGTGTGTGTGTGTGTGTGTGTGTGTGCCAGTGTCTCTGTGTGTGTATGTGTGTGTGAGTGTGTCTGTGTGTGGCTGCGCTAACTGGGTGTGTACGAGTGTCTGTGTGATCCTGTGCGTATTTCTGTGTGTGTATGTGTGTGCGTGTGTGTCTCCACTACAGTTATAAACACAATTTTTGTCCTTAAATTTCTTTTTAAAAATATCAAATATTTGGCACTGACCTATAATATGTGAAGTTAGGAAGGGCCACATAAAAAAAAAATAGCTTAGGGCCTTATCCAGTCTTCGGTCCTGGTTGCAGCTATTGGCAACGGTGCCGTAGTGTTTTGAAATATTGTTGCTTATGTCATAAAAATAAGACAAGTTTACAAGACAAGGGTATTGGGAGGGGGGGGGGGATATTTCCCAGCATATATTGTTACGTACCCACCTCTCCCGTCCTTTACAGCTAGGCGGGGATTCGAAAACAAAATGAAAAAACAATTAGGAACAAACACAATTAGCAACTATTTCTTACACTTTAGTGCCACGATATAAGTACAAGACCTAATATCAAACCGTCACAACATCTAACACAATGAGGAAAAATGCTATCAGATCTAGAACTGAAATAAAAATTCCTTAAGGTAACTGCAACTACTTGTCCCTAACTCAAGTGTCAGTTCTAATCGAAGGTTCAGACAACCCGTGGACGGTACCTGCTCACGAGTTACTTCCCTCTTCATCCTAGTCTAGTCCTGCACTCATCGACTCATGAATGAACTCCCCTCCTAAAATAGCGGACTACCAAAAGCAGAGTTTCTTCCAGGCATCTCTTGGGGGGGGGGGGGGGGGGGGGCGGAAAAAGTCCACCCCCACCCCCCGAACGAAATTTAATTTAAACATAAACTTTTACTAGTGTCCACCTACCTCCCCCCGGAAAATGTCCGCCCGTCCCGAAAATATCCAGAAAATATCCCCCCCCCCCCCCCCGGAGAAAAATGTCTGGAAGAAACACTGGCCAGAAGTCCAGGTACAAGAGGTAATTAAGCACCATCACAAGTGTCGAATCCAATTGGACTAGAACCTAGGTTTCCCACGGTCAGTACTGGCCAGTCGATGAACGGTCCAGCTATAAATTACAGACCGTCACTAGCATCGGCTTCACGCAAGCGGTCGAACTGTGTTCGGCACTAGGTCAAATACGGGACTCACACCACTGACCCGTCTTTAGGGTCGTCACCAGGTTAAAACCAGGTGATCGTAACGATATATATATATATATATATATATATATATATATATATATATATATATATATATATATATATATATATATATATATATATATATATATATATATATATATATATATATATATATATATATTTATATATGATGTTTGTGTGTATGTATATATTAAAACAAGCTTTTGATATCTTTATACTTTATGTCCTCTGTAGCTGCTTATATCACCTGACTGCACCTGACTGGGGAACATACCAGCTTAGCCCCAGATTTGGTTTGATATTATACTGTCACAAGTATAGCCCTCAAATAATGTTCATGATAATTTTTTTTTTAAAATGAGTATACAAAGTATAGCTACATCACTAAGCGTAATGTTATAGATGAATGTAATGAGCTGTAAAATTATCTGTAAACACACATCTGCACATGCACATGGGATCTACTCGTAACTAGAGAGGTAAAAGGTAAATCAAACGAAATTTAAGAATTAGTACAGATTTATTTAATGAATAGTTCAGACTGTCACAGTCATTGGATTATTTATCTTTTTTTGTTCACTGTTAATAGTGGCACTAAGTTAGATTTTTAAAGGAAAGATAATAGAGTAAATAAAAACATTACTAGCAAGGTATTACACCTTAATTATATAATGAAATATGCCATTTAACTCCGTTAAAGAGTTAAATAAGTAGGATAGGGGACGTAGCCGATGTTAATGTTTGCCACAAAAATATTTAACTTTTGTTTTGTTATGTCCCTTGGAAAATGTTTTTTTTTTATTTATTGAAGTTGATTTGTGATGGAAATTTACATTAATCTTTGTCAGAAATTAGGGCATTTATTATGACCAAATTGAAATAATTGTATTCATTTTACTTTCCCAAATTGTAAAATTGTATGTATAATTTAGACAGACAATAATTCACTAAAATATACTTTACAACAGTAACTCATACATAGTAATCTGTTATTGTCTCCGTTGAATAGTTGCACAACCACTTGTACTTATTTCTATAAACGTCAATGGTTATATATATATATATATATATATATATATATATATATATATATATATATATATATATATATATATATGACAAAACTTATCCAAATATTTATCCATTTATATCCATGTAGCATACAGTAGGACAACCAACCATGCTGAATAAAGTACAACCATATACCATACTTTTTATTGTCCACACAAAATTAAAAAAAATTAAATACGATAAGAAAAACTATTCAGATAAAACATATTAAAGATACAAGGCGAACGACGACACTGAGTACACACTCTTAAGAAGTGCAGTAGATCTAGAAATGAAAACAATTTTTTAAAGATGAAACAGTCAACACGTATGGCACAATAGAAACCCTACCGTGTTGAATTATCAGCCTTGGGATTTCATGTAGTGAAAATACAAGCCAAGCAACCGCGTGATATATTTTGTTCAAGTGCTTTAAATTACCCCCCTTGATTTTGATTGTTTCGTTTACAACTCGGAGAGTGAGAGGTCATACTCACCCCTTTCTCTCCCCCCCCCCCCATTAAGGGGGGGAAAAGTCACAGGATAAATTAACAAATATGTTTTTGCATAAAATTTGTAAATGTGTGTTAATACTTTTATGTATCAAATATTCGGAAAGTGCAAATCTACTTACGATTAATTAAATGTAATTTAATGTGTGTAGGTTGTATATGTATAGTCATATTTGCATTTTAAAAAATTAGGCCTACATATAATATTTAATAGAATTTTTATAGAATGTTCCAACCTTCTCTGTTTTCATCGTGTTTTTTTAAAATACTAACTTTAAATTAGCGTGAAATGGTATAAAGAGGTAGTTAATCATCGCAACAATAGTTCACCCCCCCCCCCCCAAAAAAAAATAAAAAATAAATAAATAAATAAAACACCACCCTCATGAATGAACACCCAAGATTTAACAATTCACAACAATTAAATTAAAATATTTCTTAAAAGATTTTTGCAACTTTTTTAACTGACTTTTTTTCAGTGATTTTTTTCTGATAAAATTTCGTTATTGTAACTTTTTGCTGTGCCTTTTTTTCCTAACCGGAACTGTGACTTTTTTCTATGTTTTTGTTTCTTGTGACTTTTTTCCCGTTCACTCCCCCCCCCCCTCTTTTAAAAAAAAATATGCGTCAAATAGCGACTTTTGCAGTCTTGACTTGGCACTACTTACAGAGTTTCTTTCAGGCAACTCTTCGTGTCCCCACCCCCCCTCTTCCCCAAAGCACGTCCACAGCCCCCCCCCCCCCAGGTAAAATAAAAAAATGTCTGAAAGCAACACTGACCCCTTGGTGTGCAGCACGACTGTATTTCAAGCACACACCCATGTGTAAACCAGAGGCTAAAAATAAAACGCTGACACGTTCTACCAAACCCCCGCGACACACTAGTTCCGTGTCAACAGGCCACAACACAGCCAGTATACCTAACTAGAATTGTGTATATTATATGTATGTGTTTTCCTGTAAAACCTCTTGCTTGTTAGTAGGTCCAACACAAGGGAATGGATTCAGGACTAACATTCGGTAAAGTTACAGAGTTTGTGTATATATTTCTTTTTTTTTTTTACAACACTCAATAACTACATTTAATTTCCGTGTCTTTTCTCCCATCTCAATGTTTTGATGTTGCACTAAACTACCTACTATGTGCCCACTAAACTACCTACTATGTGCCCACTAAACTACCTACTATGTGCCCACTAAACTACCTACTATGTGCCCACTAAACTACCTACTATGTGCCCACTAAACTACCTACTATGTGCACACTAAACTACCTACTATGTGCCCATTAAACTACCTACTAGGTGTCCGTGTAAGCTGAATGCTCCATTGCCAATAACGTTAGAAGTAAATTGAGGTCATGACAATAAAAATGGGAACTCCTCCCCCCTCCCCAATTAAAAAGAGCAGCTATTTAAAAACAGTTCGTCATTCCGGATGTTGTATTGTTGTATGAAAAAAATATAACACTTAAAACCATGGCACGGTGTAGCTGTTATCTATAGCTACAAGTTTGTATAGGCCTATGTTAATATGCCAAGACTAGAGACTTACAGGATAAGTGTAGATACAATGTTATGGAAAAAAACACCTTTAACATATTTAGAGAATTGACTGCTGTTAGATTTAGTGGTGTAGTGAACGAGTGAAGGGGGATGAATGACTATTACAACTCACAGACTGAACATGGACGAACGGAATAGGTTAACAAGTACAAACAACATTCACCCCCCCCCCCCCCCCATTCATCTCCCTTCACTTTTAAGGGTGTAGCACTTATCTGGACTCAGATTGAGAACATCTACCACAGTGTTAATATATTATTTGTTTAAAATAATGCAAAAATAATTACGATCTTTACCTATGTTTGTCTATGTGTTATTTATAATTTTGTTCTATGTATAATTTTTTTCATAGTAATCATAATCAATCGGTCATTAACATTGAAATAGTTGAGTTTTCTTCACAGATATATAGGCTTTAAAGGGAGATAAGTCTAGAATGAAACAGTTGTGCATGTTGTTAACTATAAAGCTGAAATTTTTTAATGAAATATTTTAAACCAAATATTTAGATCACGCTGAAGGATGTCAGGCCATTGATGGGACAGCGGGGAAAAAGAATGACCAAGGTAATTTAATGATAAAACAATATTTAAATTAGTCCAGATATGAGGTGGGGGCGGGGGGGGGGGGGGGGGGGGGGGTTGAGGGGTGCTGTAAAGTTGGGTTAACCCGTTTTGAAATCTGCCTACAATTTTCTTTTTTAAAATTCTTTATCACAACTGTTATAAAATTGCGTTAAGCTAATTGTTTTTGCTATCTTATTTATCTTTAAACTCGTGTACCCTAAGGTAATTTTGAATCCTGTAAATGTATCTTTAAACTCGTCTATCCTAAGGTAATTATGAATGCGAGGTCCTGCTAGAAGGCGCAGAAAGCGGCAAACTGTGGGAAACGTGTGTGAAAAATCCCGGTCACGTGGCTTTTATCCCCGCCCAGCAGTTCTCACTGGAGCACCTCCCCGGGGATTACCAGGACACGGAGCTGCTGGACTTTGTCCACAAGTTTGCCGACAGGGCCGTTAGACTGGTGGTCAACTACACCAGCATGGCCCGCCCCGATGGTTTTATTTTCTCAAACCACAGGGGCACCACCACCCCTCACACCGGAAGTGGATTTATGACCTGTCGTATTTGGCCTACCGTGAATGAAGATGAAAAACAAAAATCGGAAAACAAATCTGATTCTGATAACGATAGTGGAGACGACGACGATTTTGAAATAATCGAATCCTTTGACTTAAACCAACTCTGCCCTTGTCCAGAGTGTAGTGAATCTGACGATCCCAACTACGGGTGGGGCTATGTTTACGTCGAGACCTCTAGGCACGTCGTGTTCGATGACGAAGAAGCAAAGAACACGGTTATATACTACAACTACACGGATGAATTTGAGTTTCAAAAGCTGTACGGGATTAAAATCTCATGGAGCGTCGAGACAAAAGACTGGTGTACTTTAGAGTGTGTGACCCACGATAGAGAACTCTACGCTAAACTTTACAACTCGCAGCAGCAAATTGATGACCAGTATCTTGAAATTAACGAGAAATACTGGCAAAGTCCGTCACGATTGGCTATTATTTTTAGCCACCCGCACGGCTACGCTAAGCGGATTACAGTTGGTCAATGGGTCGAGCGACGTGTCACGTTCACTGATCACTTGAATGGGGACATTGAAACGACGTACACATACAACAACGCCACCTGCAGTGGATCGAGTGGAGCCCCTGTTCTCATCTTCGGCAAGAGGGGCGATGACGACAACAAAGTTTGGTGGCAGGGGCATTTTCATGCCCACGGTGGCTGGATGGATAAGGACACAAACTTCAGTGGGATATCAGATGAGAGAATAGTCGAGTTAGAGGACTAGATAGGCATATGGTTAGTGGCTGGATGGACAAATTTTAATGGGATATTAGATGAGAGAATTGTTGAGTTAGAGGTCTAGGTAGGACTGTGGTCAATGGCTGGATAGACACATTTTAATGGGATATCAGATGAGAGAATTGTTGAGTTAGAGGACTAGGTAGGACTTTGGTCAATGGCTGGATGGACAAATTTTAATGGGATATTAGATGAGAGAATTGTTGAGTTAGAGGACTAGTTAGGCCTATGGTCAGTGGCTGGATAGACAAGGACACAAGCTTCAGTGGGATATCAGATGAGAGAATTGTCGAGTTGGAGTTCTAGATAGGACTTTGGTTGGTTGTTGGACACAGTTCAGAAGTTGAGCTAATTAATGTAATTAATTGAAATATTAATTTAAACTATGCTAAAATTTGATTTTTTTGTTAGAAATCTCACTGTAGAACAGGTTTTTAGGAAATCTATCAATAACAAAGTAAAGCTTGTAACAAAGTGGTTTAACAAAGTCTTCCAACATAGTCTACCTGTTTTGATCTAGAGTTTAAAAGTGTGAATGGCTCACCTGCTAAAAATACAGGTAGAGAATACCTATCAGCCACGGTGTAAAAATTTTCAAACTCTCACGTGCAAGGCGAGCTGCATTCTTCATTTATCAAAGGACGCGCTCACTAGCAGGTAAACAATCTGTTCAATGGGGAGTCACGATCGTGACGTTGATCAACTCTATAGTCTAAACTCGCATCTTTAGGCTCAGCGCTAAATGGTACCTGGTATAAACTCGCATCTTTAGGCTCAGCTCAGCGCTAAAGGGTACCTGGTATAAACTTGCATCTTTAGGCTCAGCTCAGCGCTAAAGGGTACCTGGTATAAAATTGCATCATTAGGCTCAGCTCAGCGCTAAAGGGTACCTGGTATAATCGGCGTCAGGTCGAGTTAAAGGAGAGATATGACGACCGGCTGGCCATGTGTTTTAGTTTTGTGCTGTGTATAGAAACAGATGAACTCTATTTCATCTTTCTCTCAGCATGTTATTAAATACTTTAATGTTTAAGAGTTTTAAGTAACAATTCGATTTACAATTTAAAAAACAAAACAAAAAGCTTGTTATGATTAAAGCTTTATTATTAAAACAAATGTTTATTAAACAATCTTTTTATCAACCCTTATACAACAAATGCCCTAGCGTAAAAATAATTTTCTAAAGTATGTACAGTAAAAAAAAAAACTAGCACCAGCAACGAAACAATTCTTGAATTAACCACTGCTACTGCTGCTGCTCTTGCTACTGCTGCTGCTGCTGTGATGGTGATGGTGGTGATGTTTGTGGCTATGGTGGTGGTGATGCTTGTGGCTATGGTGATGATGGTGCTTGTGACTATGATGGTGATGGTGATGATGCTTGCTTTTACTGCTACTACTACTACTGCTGCTGCTGCTAGGCCGACAGAAGACCTCAGCAACCAGGAGAGCTGTTGGAATACAAATGGTGAAATGATATGCAACGGTAACTGTTATAGACTGTAATTTATTTAAAAAAAAAGATGTTTTCAATTTTGTTTTTTAACGAAATGGGAAACATACTCAAAACTGAATTTCAAAAGTATTTCAAGAGCACCTCTTAAAGAGTATGGTTTATATTAGAATGGGAAGCTAAACTGTTGAATATGTATTAATCGCCAGCAATAGCTTTGAGGTAACTCTAGACCTTCTACATCAGAACTCATCAGTAGAATTTCGATTTAGACACATTATTATCACCTAATAGACATTTTGTTCAAATGGAGGAAAAGAGCTATTTTTAAAGATATGGAATAATAAAATTAATATAAATGTTGGATGTGATGCTAAAATAAAATCGGTGAGATGTTGTACAGATTTTTAGATTTGTGAACGAAACAAATATATCCCGTTATATTTTTTAATCTTAATCAAGCTTTGTAAATAGTGGCATTTTAGTCTTGTATCCGTCTTTTTTTTTTTTTTTTTTGTAAAAGAAAATATTTTTGGCTAAATTAAAAAAAAAACACAACACTTTTCTGCGCTACTTGTAAACATTACTTACATAAACACAGCAGGACAATAAAAAATGAAACCTTCATGCTGACGTTGTGTGGAGCACAGGACAAACAAACCCAAGTGGTTGTTGGAAGCTGAAGATTTGTATCTGACATACGTCCTCACCCCGTCCTTATATACCCAGCATCCAGCTCGTGTTCTGTTGCCTTTGTCGTCTCCCACTTGTCTCAGTAGACCATTCAGACAAATTGTCGTTTAGATTAGACATTCATTACAATTAGAATTAGGCAATGTGTGCATTCACCACCGCTTGGACAATGTACAGGTAAGGGAGTTAAAACACATTGTGTAATTCGGCGTAAGAAAAGCTCCGGACAAAAGTTTCGACTTAATTCCCTTGGAAAGAAAATTGTGAACCACAGAGTTCACGTTCCTGACAATGCACAGATCTACGCTCTTCATTAGAGAAAGTAGTTTTAAATCCGGGTAAGTTGGTGCTATATTTTTAGAAATAGACTAGACTACCCGTCATCCGTTGGATAACTGTGGGTTTCGGGGGTCATCCATCAAAAAACATCACGTCTGTCACTCAGAGGCATAGCGACCCTTCCCGGCGCCCGGGGACAAACTTTTCGATTTGAACCCTCCCCCCCCCCCCCCGCAAGATTTCGATTTGCAACCCCCCCCCCCCTCAAACTTTTGATGTGCACCCCCCCCCACTCAAACTTTCGATTTGAACCCCCCTCAACCTTTCAATTTATTTTTCCAAACCATTTTGGCGCCCCAACATATGTCTCCCCCCCCCCCCCCCCCGTTCTCGTAAAACTAAATGAAAAAGACAGTTGAAAATTGATATAAGTGTTGGAACGTAATAAATACAGCAAACGGACGTATTGTTAAAGTTATGACCGACAGAAAATTAGATTTAGAACGCGTTAAACTTTTGAATGGGAACACAATTTTCTTCGATAGACGCCGCCATTTTATTGTACTAAAGAGTAAACAAAAAACTGTGACGTCACGGTCCCGCCGAGTGTAGTGGTCGTTCTAATCTTTTTAAAAAAATAGGGTTACTCTACCTATGAATAAATCAATAAATTAATTAACGTCTTTAAATAAATGTGTGATTAACAGTCTGTCTTAAAACAAAGTTTTTTCTCTACCTACATACTATTTTACAGCTGTCCACAATGAATAGAAGTATTCACAATACTCGATCAGCCAAACAAAAAAAAAAAAAACAAAAAAAAAAAAACAAAAAAAAAACAAACAAAAAAATAAATATTCAAACATGTAAACAAACTTGAGTTTTAGTAGTATATAGATTTATAACTAAAAAATCTTTGATTTGACCTAGATTCTAGATTCTAGATCTAGATCTATAAATAACTTTCTTGGACATATTGTAGATCTAGAGAAATTTATCGTAAAACTAAATGAAAAAGACAGTTGAAAATTGATATAAGTGTTGGAACGTAATAAATACAGCAAACGGACGTATTGTTAAAGTTATGACCGACAGAAAATTAGATTTAGAACGCGTTAAACTTTTGAATGGGAACACAATTTTCTTCGATAGACGCCGCCATTTTATTGTACTAAAGAGTAAACAAAAAACTGTGACGTCACGGTCCCGCCGAGTGTAGTGGTCGTTCTAATCTTTTTAAAAAAAAAGGGTTACTCTACCTATGAATAAATCAATAAATTAATTAACGTCTTTAAATAAATGTGTGATTAACAGTCTGTCTTAAAACAAAAATTTTTTCTCTACTTACATACTATTTTACAGCTGTCCACAATGAATAGAAGTATTCACAATACTCGATCAGCCAAACAAACAAAAAAAAAAAAAAAAAAAAAAAAAAAAAAAAAATATTCAAACATGTAAATAAACTTGAGTTTTAGTAGTATATAGATAGATTGTAGTGGTAGGTTTCTTATTTATTTTTCTTAGACCAGTGGTTCCCAACCTTTTTCGAGTGGCGACCCCTTTTTATAAAGAGTAAGTGACCCGCGACCCCCATAGAATTAAAAACCGAAATTAGTATGGAAATTAATAAGCACTAAAATAAGATTTTCTAGTAGACTTTTAATTTAAACTACTGTTGATAATTATTTTAATAGCATGAGTAAAATTGCATACTTCACTAAACCGTCGTGGTTAAGTTTTGAATTTTTAAAAAAATTGACAACGCCAACTTATGTCATTATAATTATCTTAATTTTGTTTTTAATCGAAGAAGTGTTGAAAATATATTCTCGAAAAGTCAATCAATTTTACGTTTGGGTATGAATGGTGAATGCTACACCAAAATTGTGTCAGTAGTTTTTCATCTTACTCGGAATCATTCTGCAAATCAAAGAATTCATCTTGTAATTCATCGGGAATGCTGGCAACAACAAGGGAAGAAGAGAATGGGTAATGCGTAAATGCAGATTCTTCTTTTTTTAGCTCAGAGAAATAGCGATGCAGTTCGTTTTCAAGAGATTCAAGATGCCCAGAAATTGCTTCTTTCAAAATTTTAATTATCTCACAATCAGATTCATCTACCACACCGCAGTTTCTCAAATTTACAATATTTCCAAGATTTATTTTCTTTACCGATTTTGCAGCTTTGATAAAAATGCCCCGAGATTATCATGGAAAGTTATAATATTCGTTCTTTTAACCTGAAGCTTCAGGTTAAGCTTATCTTGATGTTCACACACATCTGTTAGCTATGATGCTCTCTCCAACCACTCTATGTCGTTTTAAGTATACCAAAAAGTCTTGTTTCCTTTGCACTTGCAAGAAAAATTTGATTTCAGATTCCAATTCAAAAACACAATTTACAACATTTCGTTTGACAGCCAGCGTACTGTAGTGTAGAAGAGCAGAACCTCGTGATCTATATTAATGTTTTTGCTCAGTTCTTTGAAGGCTCCTGATTTTATATAATTTACGACTTATACTAGCAATGGACTCTTGATGTCGATTAGTTAGGGCAGTGGTTAGGGAGCTAAATCTTTTCTGTTTTCTGAAAGCCTGATTTTGAGCTAAACATAGATGGCGCACCATCCGTACAAACCCCCACAGCCGTTCTAACCCATTTTAATAATCCAGTTTCAAAAAAGGTATTTATTTTCTCCATGCTATCCTCACAAAAGAGCAACTCTTCTTTGCTATCATCCGCATGAATATAGACACAGAACAGCAACTGCGAACACGAACTCACGTCTTTTGATTTATCAATGTGAAAAGCAAAAAATGTTGAAAGCTTGATTTCATTCAAAATTTGTTGTTTAACATCTACGGAAATGTCAACTATAAGCCGCAGAATAGTATTATTAGGCAGAGATATTTGTTGCATCTTTACTGCACTGGCATCCCCAAGAATTAACTTCACCATCTTCAACAAGCAGGGTTTGAGGAGATTTTCCCCTATTGCATTGTTTTTTTTTGGGTTTTTTTTTTTTGCTTGGCATTTTCTATCGCGTCTTCATTTGATGTTTGAACTTATGCTGTTTTATTGGTGAAAACTTCCTGTTCGATCAAGTCTCTGACTAGCTTTATGCCGACGAAAGAACTCCATATCTTTTTTTGTGTGTGTTTCGAATAACTCGTCTCAAATGACGTTTTAGTTTTGAAGATTTCGTGTCTGAGAACAACTTTGTACAGTTCGCAATGCTTCTTCTCTATTTCATTTCCAGTTATGTTAGTAAAGCCGAATTTCAGATATTCTTCTAAATATTTATGTTTTGTTTCTCATTGCTAAGGTTTAGTATACGAGTTTGCGACGCCCCAGGAAGCCCTTCGAGACCCACCCTTTTCTTTATAGTTTTTTTTAAACTGTAGTGTATAATTTACTTTCGCCTTTTTAGTGTATTATTACATAAAAGTTTGTTATTAAAATTTGTTGATAGTCGGCAAAATTTTTGCTGTACGCCATTTAAATAACATGAAGAAATTATTAATTACGAGCACATTGCCAAAACATATGTCACATAATATTTTCCATTAGATCCCAGAAAAAAAATGGATACGTTTTAATAACAGTAGGATCAAATACAACCAATTAATTAAAGCGTTTAACAATTATGCAAGGGAAGGTAATTTAAA